AATGAAAAGCAGTGCAATAAAAGTAAACAAAGCAGTGAAGTGTCAGCTCGACCAAGAGCTCGAGTCGAGTCAGAGCAAAGTACCAGCTCGATCGAGTTTAGGGACGAGTTGAGACAAACAAAGCTAAAGGTGACGACTTTAACAAGATAAAGAGAGAATTAGGGTTCAAGACAGGGTTTTGCAATCAAAGGAATCTACACTTAATCAATCTAGCTCTTAAAACTCCTTGTATCAAGGCTTCTCTTGATATTGGGCTTCTCAATGCCTAGCCAACCCTTTCCCAAGGTGGAGGCTATCAACCAAGGAATGATCTCAGAAACAGGGGGTTAGCCAGTGAGAATCAAACCTTGGAGGCTATAGGATCATTGCCCAAACTAATCCATCCAACCCCTTAGACCTCTATGTCTAGAGCAAGAGATATTGGAGCTCTTAGTGGATCTTTTCCAGCGAATGCCATCACTTTCGTGTGGGGAGTCGCCTAAGGACTTACAAGCCAGGGGTAGTGGTCATGTAGCCTTAAGATCTATCCAAAAGAGAGAGAATCTAGATTAAGACCATAAGCTAGAAGGATTAAGCATATGAAACCTCTAATCTATCCCATCTCAAACCCTAATGGGTAACTACTCACTACACATGAATGTAAACACAAGCAAATGCAATAAAAGAGACATCATAAGAAAGAGGAGATGAAATTAAACAACTTTTATTGAAATAAGCAAGTGCAAATACAAAGAGATTATCCAGGATCTAAGATTCAAGAAGCAAGAGCTTCAAGAACACAAAGATGGGATTAGATCTCTAAAAAGTAAAAGACAATAAATTAAAAGAAACTAAAACAAAATAATCTAAAGCTTGGTGGTTTTTTCGTGGCTTAGAGCCTTTAAATACAAAGAGGATTAGGTTTAGGGTCAAAGGAAGTCAAGGGGGAAGCAACATTTTTCGGGTTTGACTTTGACTTCCAGCTCGATCGAGTTGAAGCTTGGCCGGTCGAGTTGAGGAACTCGACCGGTTGGTCGAGTGACGGTCGAGCTGGTCTTCAAGATGGCTTCTCCCTTCTTCCTTTGCGTATCCAGTTGAGCTGCTTCCATGTGCCAAGTCCCTCCATGCTCCTTATGTCCCATATGCTCCAGAATGCTCCAAAAGACCTATTTCAAAGGACCAAACATGCATATGTATGCAAATGCAACCTAAAACTAACATGAATGCATAAGAAGAGAAAAGGAACAAGATATGATGCAAATGGAAGCTAAAACTATGCAAAAGATGCATAAAAGATGTGCTAAAACTATGTAAAATGCAAGTACATCAACACCCCCAAACTTGAACTTTGCTTGCCCTCAAGCAAACAAATAGAACAAGAAAGAGATGAGGTTTGAAAAAAGCTGATTCAACACTTAAAAACATGTCCTCAAAAGCGATTTGCTAAATGTCCAACTTAGAGATTCTAGAATGCAACAAGGTGAGAGATATTCATTAAGATTTAACCATGCTTATCAACATCAATCCCACTTCACAGTCACTCAAACAATGCATTCAAATCAGCAAATCCCTTTAACATTCATTAAGCAAAAACAGTGAACCAAAAACATGCAAGATCAATCAACTCATTTGGTTTCAAGGGTTTATGGGTTAAGAGACAAAGAGGGTCTCTTTTGTATGGTGGTTTAGTAACAGGGATCTCTCAAGAAAGTGGCTTTGCTTTGGCAGAAGGCTAAGTGTTAGAACCAAAGATGATGCAAGAACAGCAGCTCGAGCCGCCTAATCCTAACTCGATCGAGTTCAACACTTAGAGCTTTTTAGAACAAAATCCTAACTACCCTTTTTGGCATTTCGCCTTTGAAACTGAGGAGCTTTGCTCACTTTTCTTTTAAGAACTTCCTAGGGAGAGGCTTCTTGAGGTAACATCTAGCGGTTTGGGATTTTCTAAACACTTAGGGAACTTTTCTTTCTTTTTGACACTTGAGGCTTTGCCTTCTTTTCATTCTACTTAGAACCCTTTTTACTTTTTTTTTAACTTCCCAAACCTTTACTAGACCCTTTTTAACACTGCCAACTCCCTGGACTTAACTAAACTCTTTTTCCTTTGGATTTTCCCAACTTTTACCACTTTTCTGGTTTTTACACCCAACTCGATCGAGCTCGAGTTGGCACCCCCAAACTTAGCCTGAAAACAATCCCAAGAGAACTAGACAACTAGAACTACTGCCCCTGCCGGTTTAAACACAACACCTTATGCTAAGCAAAGCCAAGAAAGGTTCTCACATTCGCACAAGAGATAATATGGGGTTTGAAATGAAAAGGCTTAGGTTTAAGGTGTGGTAACTGTCTCAAAGATAGAGATCAGCTATCTGGACAAGCAAAGGGATATGAAAATAGGTAAAGAATGTCCAGATATGTATGTGGTAGCCATGAGTTGAAATCAAATGCAAGCATTGGTAATTAAAGATCAAGTTATGGTTCAATAGATAGGGAAATGCATCAAATCACAGCAATGGTTGAATGAGATGTGCATGCAGTGATATGATCAAGATAAACATGGTTCTTGCTGCTCAATCAATCTCACCCTAATGCACAAAAGAATCTAAAAACAGGGCACTCAAGAAATCGCAAAAGATGGAACAAGTTTTCAAAGTCAAATCAACAATGCAAGTGAAAAATGCAATCCTAAACAAGTCTAACAAATATGAATGCAAAAAGATGAAAATATTTTTGGATTTTTTGAAAATTTTATGATTTTTTTGGTTTTTCTATGCAAAAGATAAATGAAAAACTAAGAACAAAGAAAACAAGGTTAAATCATCTCTTGAACCCTCCCCCAAACTTAAATCACACAGTCCCTTGTGTGAGAAAAATTTAGTGAAAGATTCAAGAGGGCAAAACCAAGAAAAACAAGAACAAATGCAAGAAAATATGAAATGGTATATACAAGGGTTGGTGTTTGGATACCTCAGTGCCCCCCAAAGAACTGGGAGACTAGGTCGTGGTCTGGAGATGGGAGACGGCCATCAGGAGCACTCCATGCAACTGGGTTGCCTCTTGGGCTCACTCGATCGAGCTTGTGGTTGTCCTCCTATTCCTGTGATTGGGGTTGTTAAGGCGAGCGCCACAGGATCGATGATGTTCCTTGTTGCGGCTCCTCCTACGAGATCCGCCTGTTGGTCTCGCTCCTGAACGTTAGCAGGGTCTCCGGCTCTTTCGTCAGTGTGCTGTTCAGCGCATCTTGTTCGTCGGCTTTATTCTGTAGGGCGGCGATCATCTCTCGCATCTTCGCGAGCTTGATTGCTGCGTCCTGAGCGCCTTATTGATCAGGTATTCCCGTTGGCGTTCGTTGCTCCCCGGTTGGATTGCCTCATGGCGGGATGACTCCCTCTAGGTTCGCTGCTTCGTTCCCGGACATCTATTTGGATCTTGAGTGTTTTTGAGTAAGAAATCTTCTAATCCCCCTCCTTCTATCGCCAAATTGTGGGAGCTGGAGCCTCAAAAATTTGTTGATATCTCGGAGACTCCAATAGAACCACACTCATCCTGTTTATCCAGCTACTGGAGATGTGGTAAGTCACACCATTTGAACTTCTTATTATTTTCCTAGACGTGTCTGTTCTATGTGAATGAACTGATCTATGCTCGTTGTGTTGCCTTGCTGGAAACATTTTTCTGCTTAGTCTATGACTCTTTTTTGTTTTCCAGGACTATTTAGAGTATGATATTATATTCAGCCTATTTAGAGTGTAATGTTTTTACTAACAGGCAAAACAATCTGAAGAATCAAGTGGTGATGGTACTAGCAATGCTGTGGGAGCTGGAATCCGCACAATAGTTTCAAGAGATGATTTTAGAGAGAGCCTAGAAATTCAAAGTATAACACAAACGAAGATCCAAAGATGGTTTTTTTTATTGATGTACAGTGTAAAGCATTGTGTGATGTGTAGCAAGGAAAAAAGTGATGGATGAACTCATTTGGTTCGATCTTTATTTATACAAGTGGTAGAACCGACTTTCCGAGATTCTCAAATATACTCTCAAGATTCGTTGTTATCTCTTGCGGCGCCTCTTGCTCGATGCTTGGAATCATCTAGGGCGAATTGTGGATCATCGTCATGGGCCTCAGCTCTGATCGTTAGAGGTAGATGTTGGTTCAGCCCAAGAATGGTTCGGCCCATATTTGATGTTGCATGGTTCGCAGCTCGTCGGCATGATGATAACTCTGTTTCATCGCGGGTTTGCCAGCGTGGATTGTTGTCGTCAATGCGTAGCTCGCCGTAGTACTTTTGCATAGCTCGCTGCCGAAAAGACTTGGTTCTTGTTCGAGCTCAGCGCACAGTTCATAGTTCTCCATCACGCAGCTCGCTGTTGCTCGTGTAAATTCTCCATAGTTCGTCATGACCGTAGCTCGTTATAGCTTGGGTCGCCAGATTCACAGTTTTCCATGATTTGTGGACGTTGAGCTCGTAGGGAGGATTCCGACCCCAACAAATGCTACATCTGAAGTCATATCTCCATAAAAAGAAGCAAATCGGGAGATCTTTCAAATCCTGAGACAAGACGCTAACTCATTACAGCAAAACATTTAGGTAATTTTTATGCGCTGAGCTTGGGGTTAACTTTCTCTTTATGAGCTTGCTATTTTTATCTTTATGTGTTGAAATTGGGGTTAACTTAGAGCTGAGCTTATGATGCAAATTGATGCTTATGATGAAATCTGATTTGGTCTTGGTTTGATCCTTTATTCTCGGATTGCAAATGTAGGCAAATAGTCTTATTCTAGGTTGCAAATAGCCTTAGCTCTTGTTCTGTATTTTTTTTTTTTTTCAGGGCATAATAAACATGAAGAAGAATACAAAGGAGAAGATATGAGACATACAACATATTGTTTTATTTTGTATTGTCAATATGTAATTAAAGATATTTTGGTTAGTATGAAGATATTTTACATTGACAATATGTAACTAAAGATTTTTTTTTTTTTAATTTTAATCTCATTTTTAGTATCATTTTTACAAATGATCTTAATCTCTTTTTAGTATCATTTTTACAAATGATTTTAACCTTATTTTTAGTATCATTTTTACAAATTTTATTAATCTGTTTATTGTATCACTTTAACAAATGATCTTAATCTCTTTTTTGCATCATTTTTACAAATGATCTTAATCTCTTTTTTTTTTTGCATCACTTATAACTAAATGATACTAAAATGTAATTTTCATGTCATTTGTAAAAGTGATGCAAAAAAAACTTAGTGTCATTTTTACAAGTGATGCTATAATTCTTGTATCATTTAAAAAATGATACTAACTTAAAAAAAAATGACACTAAAAAATAAGTTTTTTGTAGTGATCAGCATAATTTTATATAGATAGTGGGTCCCATATTTAATCAAAAATTATAAAACAAAAGAGAATAAAATAATAAATGACAAACAATTAAAATTAAAATTATTCAATCAATTAATTTACACAGTTTACTTTTATTATATTTCCTTAAAATAAAATTTAATTTTACCAAAAAGCCTAAAATATATTTCACAGAATAAAATATTGAAAATATTAATTAAGAAAATTAATAGATATTAGATGATTTATAAAAGTCATGAGACATTTTTTTGATATAAGTTGATAATTCAAAATATATAAAGCTAACTATAAATAAGAAAAAATTAAAATATTTAAAACAATATAAGAAACAACATAGTTTTTTTAAGAATTGCAAATTTATAAGGATATGTTTTGATTGAAAATGTTAGAAGGAAAATGGTAAAGAGCATGGCTCAAACGGTGACTGGCAGAGTGGTTGGGTGTAGTTAAGAGGCGGACATGGCTCATGATGATGTTAATAAGAACTTTAACAAGTTTAGAAAATCAGAAGGTCAATGATGACTACAGGAAGTTCTAAGTTCACTAAACAACCGTTTTTGGTACTAAAAGTATAATAAATATTCATGTAAATACTAATAAATCCTAGAAATAGTTGCCAAATCTCTGGGAAAATTAGGACCATTTAAAATAAACATAAAGGAGTATGTATTACAAATCTTCAATATTATACAGAATAACAAAGAAAATTTAGTAAAAACATATTTTTGAAATATTTAAATGATGGTTTACCGAAAAACAACCCCGCGCTTGCGCGGGGTATAATCTCTAGTATATATATAAGGTATTCTCCTAACGATCAGCATCCCATTTCTAATTGGAGTCACAGTCGTATAAAAGGCCCAATATATATATATATATATGAGTTGCATAATATTTAACAAAGGCCGAAGACACAAATATACAATATTTTTGCTTATATATTTGTAGTCTATAACATAAGAATCAACTTTGGTTCATTAGGGGATTTATTGTTTACACAACAGAGTAGAAAGAGAATTCTATCAGAAATATAGTTAAACAGTAGAGGGAGAAGTGCTGAAGACCTTCATATGATCCAGCAAAACACCAATGTGTAGTAGACAATATACTCCTTGGTTTATGTTATGTTATTCTTTCAGCTATCGGCTTTGACTCTGGAGATTATGGTTCTTGGCATTAATTTATTGGACTCTTCTGTTGCAAGCTCCTTTGAATTAGCAGCTCTCTTGTTTCTTTGTTCAGATTTGGCTGCGGATTATATTGTTGAGGCCATCGCCTGAGTTTTTCTTCTCGAACATCATTTGCAGGTATTTGCCTTGTTTTTCTATCCGCAGTTTCAGTTTCGCTCGAAACTCATATTACGATTTAGAATCACTTTCACTATTTCCACTATTTGCAGCCTCATGAATCCAAAAGCTTAAACACATACATAAAAACCAAATCTTTACCGATATAGATAAGACATACCTCGAGCTGCTTGTAGAGCTGTTTCTGTACTTTCATATGAAGCCACATAGCCTCTAGTAATACAGATATATAGTCAAGCGACAAAAACACACAAACACACAAAACCATGAAAATCCATGAAACATATGAATATATAAACACTGAACATAAGAGACACAAACACACAAAACCCATGAAACATATGAATATTTAAACACTGAACATAAGAGACACAAACACACAAAACCCATTCGAATAAAATTAGATACGAAAAGAGATTTAAAACTCACCAGTGGAGACGAAGACGGCAACATAGTTTTGTGGTTGCGGTGATGATGTAGGAGATATTTTGGAGATTTTCACAAATTTCCTTTTTATGTAGTTATGTTTTTCCTTTTTAGTTTTGGATATTTTCTAGGGTTCTGTTTTCCTATATAAACACTTATAAGTTGTAGTCATGATATGTCTCTTATTATTCTAATTAATCAAAGCAGATAACTTTTCTCTAATCTGGTGGATTTCCAGAGTTTTCTCTTCAAGTTCATCGCTTGTAAACTTGAATTCAATCTAGGTTTAGTGCTTGCTATTCCTAGAGTTTTCCGACTGCGTCAGGTGAAGACAAAGGTTTCACGTCAACATCAAAATCATCTCCGATGTCAAAAGATGAATCATCCTTAAACCCTTGGAAATCAGCCTCAAATTCATAGTCCAGATCAAAGAAATCAGAGATATAGCACCTCCACACACACCAATTCACCTTTCCATTTTTTCCCTTTTATATCAAATAACACCTTGCTTCCGATCCCATTAACATATGTGTTGTGCTCTGTCTTAATTAAACATGTTACCATTACAACCCGAGAACAGATTCATGGTTCTTCAACGGATGTATTACAATAACCATCACGTAGCACCCACAAAAATTATCCATATAATCGTAGCACCCACACGAACCTCTCGAGGAAGAACTTATCTTCCACAGATTTTTCATGTGCCAAGTCATGCTTAAAAGCATCGTCTCCAAACACGCTATATGGTTTCAAACCAAAAACACAATATGTAGACGATTTCTCAGACCAAGTTCATCAATCCAAAAAGTCCAGCAAAACCATGACCAAATCGCAAGTAACATAATGAATCGTATCATTATTTGCACATTATAATTTGGATAATCGTTTGCACATTATAATTTGGTTCAGTATATAAATTTATTTTTGTTGTAATGCTTGTTTTCTTCTCTATCATATTCTTCTCGAGTGATTCTATCTTCTTTTTTTTCTTCCATTTTTAATTTGTTGTCATCATTTTATTATTCTTCTTCTCTCAACATTTTATTCTTCTTCCCTCAATATTTGTTCTTCAATCTTTTCTTCTGTTTTCATATCCTCCAACTCACTATACTTCTTTTTATTTCTAATTATCTTTACATTCTTTTTCCGTATTTTCTCTCTTTCTCTCGCTCTCTATCTTTATAATCTTCGTCTTCTTGACATCATGTTATTCTAATTTTTATTTATATCTTCATTGTCTTTATTGTCTTCACATTCCATTTTCTCTTCTTTGATTTCTTTTTCTTCGTGTTCGAGTCGCCATTTTGCTTTCTTCTCCAAACGAACAACTTCCGTGACGGTTGATTCTCAGCACAAATTCTAGGGTTACAATAATTATTGGGCCGATAATGGGTCAACTGACTCAAGTCAAGGTCCATTTAACTATGTTCAAGCCCTAAACTTGTGCACCATCGGGGAGCACTACAAGAAACATATTTTTTAGTGTCATTTTTTTTTTTAAGTTTAATATCATTTTTAAAGTGATACAAGAATTATTGTATCATTTCAGAAAATGATACTAAAATCAATGATACTAAGTTTTTTTAGTATCACTTTTACAAATGACACTAAAATTAAATCTTAGTATCATTTATTTACAAGTGATACTAAAATGACATTTAGTATCACTTAAAAAAAATGATACTAAAATGACATTTAGTATCACTTAAAAAAATGATCCTAAAACTGAGATTAGAATCACTTGTTCAAGTGATACTAAAATGTCATTTTAGTATATTTTTTTAAGTGATACTAAAATTGAGATTAGTATCATTTTTTTAATTGATACTAAATGTGTATTTGTATCACTTGTAAATAAATGATACTAAAATTAAGATTATAATTAAAATATATATATATATATATTCAAGCTAAAATATCCTTATATAGTAATCAAACTAAAATTTACTTGTAGTAAAATGTATACAACCTCAAATTTAATTATAGTAAAATGTATAAATGTGTATTCTCTTCTTCCTTGTATACCTGCCAAAATAAAGAGCAAGTTGCATCATAAACATCAAACCATCAAACCATCAAACCATCAATCCAATATCGTGAAATTTAGTTCAAACCTCAAACATCAAGAAAGAACAACATTAAACAACAATATCGTGATATTCAGAGCAATTCATACCAATACAAAGATCATTAAACAACAACAATACCAATTCAGAACAACATTGCAACTAAAAGTTATGACATCAAGATATGATCAGAATGTGACAATGCAAAGATCATTAAACAACAAGCAACATTTTTTCAGGTCCAAGTGACAAAGTTTTGGTCCAAGTAACATACCAATACTACACGTATCAAGAAGCTAAGACTACCAACTTGATTCATACCAAGAACAAGAGCTAAATAAGGCAACACAGAACAAGAGCAAGAGCTATACGATAATTACCTTATAATCCTGTCATCTTCACGTTCTATGCCCTGAAAACATTAAAACAGAACAAGAACTAAATAAGGCAACACAGAACAAGAATATATGCAACACAGAATATGCAACTTACCTTCTACAGTTGCAATCCGAGCTGAGAAGACTATTAAGCACCTCATTCATCTTCTCATATTTGTCCTCTAAATCATTCATTTTGTCCAATTTTTTTTGTAGATCACGAACTGTATTTCTCAAGCTTACCACTTCTGTTTCATAGGAGATGCGATTCTTGAAGAAAGATGAAGGAGTAGGACCAAGCCCAACACAACAAACACGACCTGGATGTTCGGGGCCAAAAACTTGAGAGAATTCATCATCTTTACTTGAACCATCTTCTATAGTGTGAACCATCTTCTCTGTTAATTTTTCCTGAAACGTGAATTCCTCAACATTGTCAACTAAACTCACAAAGATGTATAAGAGATGAAGCAACCAAAAAGAATCTGACCGATAAATCACGAGCTTCTTCATTAACATATCCTCCATTAGCTTTTTGGCGTGAGCTCACATAGATTTCTGCACGACTTGGACGTTTCCCCGTCTTAAGAAACTGGACATTATACCCCAAAAAAAAATCAGTTTTACACACTTAACTTACACAAGTGATTCTAATCACGCTTATGTTGACATTCTCTATTACTGGAACTTTGAATTTCAGTTTAGACAACAGACAGAAACTTACAATTTCTTTCGACTTTCGAGAAATGCTTTTCTTCCCTAAAGTATGAGGTGTCTTGTAATGGCTCCTGCTTATCTTGTTTTGTTCTCTCAAATTCTAAAACTCACGTATGTAAAAATGTTAGCAACTAAACAGAACATAACAAAAATTTGAGATGGTGACTTGTGAAAGCAAAGATATGTTTTGTATTACCTTAGTTCTCTCACTAAACTGCATATAAACAAAGTCTTGCCACTGTTCTTTTGGAACAAAGTCAGGGCGGAGCTGTAAAGTTTCTTCAGGATTGTTCCTTCCCAAATGTTCCCATAGACGAGTTTTTAAACTTTTGCACTTCATACTCAAGCTCTTCATCACAAAGTCTTTATAGTTTTTGTTTGAACTATCAAAACAAAACTTAGTCTGCATTTACAACCATTTAAGACCATAATCAACCAGTTAAGGATATAAAGACTGTGACCATAATCAACTATCTAAAACCATAATCAATTGCTCATTAAGAAATGTACCTGAATGTAGTCCCAAGCATCATCCTTTCGCCATTGTTGTACATTCCTCCAATCATCATAATTTATGGGAAACTTGGTCAGATCCGTACTCAACATGCCAAGCCATGTAGCAAATATACCACCACTTCCTCCATCAGGTTGATCATGTGGACCAAACTCTAGAATGATTCTTCGTTTTTCCATTCCCCATACATCTTTTGCAGTGAGACGTTCCTCTGTTACATTTGAATCTGAATCTGCAACATTAAAACATCCACTTTTACTTACCTATCAACAACAACCTAGTAAAGTAGTCATACATTCTCAAGAGAAGTAAACTTTTACTTACCTATAACATTTACCACCCACTTTCCACGCTCTCGTCCTTGTGTATATATCTGATTTTGATTCACATCTTGTGTTTCCTCGACATGAGAATCAATGCCATCCATCTGCAAACAATACAAGTCAAACAAAACAAGAGATAGCAAAACCTGAGATCTCGTATTAATGAGTCAAACAATTCAAGAGAGAATTCAACAATACAAGTCAAACAATACAAGAGATAGCAAAACCTGAGATTTCTTATTAATGAGTCAAACAATACAAGAGAGAATTCAAGAACAAATACAAGTCATAAGCTAAAACATGAGAATTCAAGAACAAACAAACAAAACAAGTCACATTTCATCAACTAATTCTTCTTCAGGTGACAAACCACAATCTCCCATATCGTATAAATCTCTAGGTTGAACATGAACTCCTACATTCCAGCCATACTCACTTGGATCTTCAACATAGTATACCATTCTTGCTTGAGAGGCTAATATGAATGGTTCATCTTCCTCACTTTCACCACTATGTATAATACGTGAAAAATTCACCAAATTATTACCAAGACCATCTCTTCTGTATCCACGACTATCACGTGTATCTGCCCATGTGCACTTGAACAAAACTACTCTGAACTTGTCGTAATACTTAAGTTGAATAATATCCACCAACTTACCATAGTAGGGAACATTACCAGCCATTGGATTGTTATCACGAGAAGAAGCATAGCTCATGGTCTCGGCAGAAACATAAACTCCACAATTCTGAGTTTTTATAACTAGGCAGAAACCCATAATACATCAAATCTCCTCTAATATCCTCTCTTGTATCTGTTCTTAACTAAAGAACATCGACAACAAGGACATTTTAGCATTGTAGCATCAGTGTTCGAAAAAGCAAATTCTAAGAATCCTTCAACCCCATTGATATACTCTTGAGACAAACGAGGTTTGTTAATCCAAGATTTATCCATAGAAACTGCAAAGAAATAATCACAATTCAATACTATCCCTATCAGATTAAAACAATGACAACAATCGCAACTCAATACTATCCTATCAGATTAAAACAATGATAACAATCACAACTCACATGTACAGAACAGAGGCAGCAATCACAAAGCAATCAAAAATCATGTACAGAACAAAGGCAGCAATCATCCAAAGGCATCAATCTACTCAGTAAACTCAAAATGGCCATTCATGGAGAAATGTCAGAATTGCGTTTTAAACACAATACTCAAAATTCAAAGTACAGCAATCTACAGAACAAAGGCAGAAATCATCCAATGTACAGAAATCATTATATCTCAAACTCAGTAGCAATCATCCAAAGGCAGAAATCATCTATATACACAATGATGATTCAACGAGAATGGGATCTCAAATTCAATAGAGCAACGAGAATGAGAAACATATATGTTTAAGAGAAGCGTGATTGTCAAAACAATCGATCAAGTGACGGCAACACCAACATAAGCGTGATTGTCAAAATTTCTCGTCTAGAACCTAAAACCCAGAAAAACTCAATATACACCGGAAAACCAAATCGAGCAAACCCAGAAAATTCGTCGACTCCGATTCAACAATAACTAAAAGGAAGAGAAATTTGAACAAATAGAACACGAAATAGAGATCGATTCCACAATTCGAGACCAAAAGCACAAGCAAAATCACTAAGTATGCAAATTAGACCAAAATCTCAAAATAAGTTCAGCCATACCTAATTAATGAGTTCTGGGATCAGCGATGGTGATGATGGAAAGGTTCTAAGCGATCGGTGACCTCGGTGATGGTGATTTGATCGGAGATCCAGAGCTTCGCCGAGATCGAGCTGATCGCGAAGCTTCGCGATAAGAGAGGAGAAGTTTTTTTCTTTTCTGATTTTTTTTTCTTTTACTGTTTCAACGGCATTTTGTTTTTTTTTTAAATTCAAACCATCTTTAATCATTTTTAAAAATAGGGATTATTTTGTGTCATTTACCTATAAGTGATACAAAAAACTGTTTATTACTATCATTTACCTAGAAGTGATACTAAAAATTGTTTCTTTGTGTCATTTTTAGTTTAATGATATTAAAAACTAATTATTAGTGTCATTTGTAAGTAAAATGATACAGATATCTTTGTTTTAGTGTCATTTTTAACAAATGATACTTTCTAATTTGATTAATTTTTAAGTTAATATCATTTTTAACAAATGATACAAGATAAACGACACTAAAAAATACTTTTCTTGTAGTGGAGGGAAATGAGATCTTTGAACCTATATAAATAAAGTGAAAAATGTAAAACCTATATCTTAATAGCACACAAGATTAAACCTATATAAATAAAGTGAAAAATGTAAAATACCAATATGTGTCAAACGATCCAAATTTAATTTATCTTTTTAGTTTTTTGTTTTTGTTTTCAAGTGTCCTATATCCGTTTCATAATAAGTATTGTTTTAGAATTTAATTTTTGTTTTATTATAAGTGTCGTTTTACATTTTCAATCAGAATTTTAATATAATTTTCGAGTGAAAGCACGATTGTTAGGGATTCCATTTCGATACGGCGACTGCGGAGATAAAAAGACGAGATTCAGAGGAGGCGGCTTCTTAAAGAGAAGAGCGTAAAAGGAGGGAAAAGGCGAGAGGAAGTCGGGATAATATGGACATCGGGCAGAGAAGTGGAGTTAGGGGGAGAGCGACAGAGGTAGGGTAAAATTGACGGTGAGATAGGCATTCACGGGCAGGAGGAGGAGAGAGAAAGGAGAGAACATAATTTTTTTTATTTAAGTTACAATACAATTTTCCAATATTTTATTTTAGATAAAATAAAAAAACAATACAAAAAAGATAGATAAAAATGTTTGGAAATTAACGTAAAAATTCAGATACAAGTGAGAAAACTTTGTAATAGTCACAACCCGCGTATCGCGCGGGCTAAGCCCTAGTTAAGTTTAGAGCGAAGAAACACTAGAAAATCTTACTTGAAGAACGAATCTTTATGGTAAGAAAACTCTTGCATTATTTTTTTTTTCTCGCCATAAAGATTCGCTTCTACAAGTAATATATTTGGCTGTTTCTTAAACCTAGACGATGTCGTTTACGGACACTCCCACCTGGTACCAAAACGACGTCGTCTTATTACTGCAATTTTCAGCCTAAACGATGCTGTCTTACCCATTGCCAGAGTGGCCCCAAAATGACATCGTATCGTTGGAAAAGCAAACACTAATGTGTTTCCCTTTTTCACTTCGACGGAATCGCTCCGTCCCACCTCCTCCCTTATCTGCCTCCGGCGAGACTGTTCGGATTTCATCATCCGTTTTGTAAGTGGTGAACTAGGTGACTCTGTCGAACTAAGGAAGTTATTAGGTCGAGGTCGGAATACTTCGTATTAAAGGTAGGAAAAAGAGTCGAACTACAGCTTTACAAGAGAAGGAGGCCGGGAAGGTTGCTTATCCCGACTCCGAACTGTGTATCGAACTACAAACTGGATTGTCGAACTAGAGAGTACAATAAACAAGTGTTTAGCTCTCTAATCCAAGGGTTTCATGTCCCATCAACTAATATTACATGCTCTATTTATAGTCTAAACTTTAGGGCATCTCCAATAATCTGATGGTGATGTGGCTCAATCTCTTCCCTTCATCTTTAGTCTTCTTCCTTTGGCCTTTTTGAGTAGAGTTGGGCCTAGGTGTTGTTTGTGTTGGGCCCTTAATGAGGGTTTGGCACAAACCCAACATTAACACGTTTCTGCTTTAAATGGTATCAATGGTGTTCATTCAAAGCGCCGGTTTTGCGATAGACTGCCCCAAATCGAACTCCATTATAAAAACCCCCCTTTCAGCTCCTAATTTTTGTTTTCTCGCATTTCCTTTCCGATTTTCAATCCGCTGGCTTCGGCGCAAAACTAATTTCAACCACTTTGGCCGTCTTTCATCATGGTTTCAGGTAACCCTCTCTCAACACCACCGCGGTGCCGCTCGTTTGACTCGTTTTTGATGTCTCTTTTGATTAGGTGATTAGCTTAGGAGACACAATTAAGTTCTCACTGTGACCATCGAATTCAAAAGATCATGTGATGGTACCACTGGGATTAGGGAGAATTGTGTGTCTGAGTTTGAGTGTATTTACACCTTGGAGGTACTTCCTAGCTCAATCCTTGAGTTGTAATTGTTTCTTTTCATGAGAAACAATAATTTAGTTTGTTTCTGTTATTTAGATCCTCTATTAGAAATCAGAGTTATCAGTCTCAAAGATTTTCAGTGGCTCCACTTCCATGTTTATGGGTTTCTAGCTACAGGTTTGTAAACGATGTCTTAGTGAACTATCAGTCACCTCTACCGGTTTCTCTGTTGCTTATCTGGTTTCTAAGCAGGTTGGTCCTCTTGGATGAGTTGTTTCTATGTTGTCTTTGTTAGTGCAGAAATCTTCTTGGAAAAGAGTTAGGACGTTTAGATTAAAAGGAGTTAGATCCTTGTGCATGATAATATTCTTAACAAAATGCCTTATGAAAAAGGTATGTGCTCCACGAAACTTCAGTCATGCTTCTTTCTTCAAAGTCTCTCCATTGTCATCACAATGATTGGCTTCACTGATCCTAATTCTTCTGAGAGGTACGCTTCAGTTTTGGGATCGTCTTTTCATTCAAAACTTATAATCGCTTTCATGTATGCGTTATCCGACTCTGTATTGTCAACGTCGGTGTTGGTTACTGCAGATTCATGTATGCATTATCCGACTCTGTATCGTCAACGTCAGTGTTGGTTACTGCAGATTTGAGGTATTAACTCTTACCTCTTCACTTTCAAATTACTCCCTTTTTTGGCTACAAATTTTCATTTCTGGTCTGGGTTTTGATGTTTTCGTCGCCATTGAATGTCTTTTCATTTATATGTTGAAGCATGTATATAAAAGTGTAATTATCACCAGAAACCATTTGATCTTATATTTAATTTTGTTTGTTCTAACATATGAATGCTATTTGGATTTTACTTAGCATAATTCTGTTTACTCTGTTTTTACAGATACATGAATAAAAACTTTGTCGATGAGAGGCATCGCCATAGATATTGTTGAAATGAAAAGAGGTTCTGTTTTAAGAAAGAAGAAAACAGAGCATAAAGTGGTAACTTGATCTTTATTGATAACTTGAAAAGTATTACAACTCGATTGTCACACACAACACACAACACTTTCTAAAGTACTTATAGAAAACAAAACAACGTAATGTGTAAACGAAAGATCACAACTTCTTGATCTAAAAGACACAACCTTAACACAGAACATTTGTGCCTTTTAATCAAGTAACTAACTAATACAAATGTAACTATGTTATGCGAGATTTGATTATAGTTCAACACTCCTCCTTAATCAAATCTCTGCTGCACTCCAAGCTGTCTTCGAAGATCTTCAAATCTTGTGCCACTTAACGCTTTTGTGAGTATGTCTGCGAGTTGATCTTCTCCTTTGCAGTATTCCAGTTGAATAAGTCCCTTGCTCTCTGCTTCACGAACATAATGATACTTTATCTCTATGTGTTTTGTTCTCCTATGCTGCACTGGATTCTTCCCGATTGCTATGGCTGACTTGTTGTCGCATAAGATGGGAATGCCTTCCTTAATTTCTTCTCCGAAATCCTTGAGAAGTCGTTGTAACCAAACGGCTTGATTTGCGGCTGAACATACGGCGATGTACTCTGCTTCTGCCGTTGATTGAGCAACAGTTTGTTGCTTGCTTGATTGCCAACAAAACACGGCTGATCCAAGAGTAAAGACATACCCTGACGTGCTCTTTTTGTCTTCAATGGAACCACCCCAATCGCTATCCGAATATCCGATTAGTCTTGGCTCTTCTACGCTTGTAAACTGAATCCCAAGACTTGATGTTCCTTTGACATAACGTAACACCCTCTTTGCTTCTTGGCAGTGCTTCATCTTTGGCGCTGACATGTATCTTGCGAGATAAGAGCTTGCATACATCACATCAGGTCGTGATGCACACAAGTATAGAAGACCTCCGACAATGCTTCTATACTTTGTTTGATCGCCATATTCTCTATCATCTCCCTCCTTCTTGCCTTGTGGTGTAAGTGGAGTGCTTACCACCTTGCTTGATCTCATCCCAAACTTATCTACAAGTTTGTTAGCATATTTTTCTTGAGAAAGAAATATACCTTGATCGTCTTGGATCACTTCCATACCAAGAAAGTAGTTTAGTAGCCCAAGGTCTGTCATCTCTAATTCTCTCTTCATGTTCTCCTTGAATGTGTTGATAAGGTGATCACTGCTTCCAGTAATGATGATATCATCAACGTATAAACTCACAATCAACACATCTTTGCCTTTTTTCTTGATGTACAAGGCAGCATCATTCATACTTCTTTCAAAGTGATTTTGAATGAAATATGAATCTATCCTTCCATACCATGCTCTTGGCGCTTGCTTTAACCCATATAAAGCCTTGTAGAGCCTTAGCACCTTCACTTCTTTTCCCTTGATCACAAACCCAGGTGGTTGTGAGACATAGACTTCTTCTTCCAACTCTCCATTTAGAAAGGCTAACTTGACATCCATTTGGTATAGTTTCCACTTCCTTTGGGCCGCATATGCAAGTATGGCTCTTATGGTGTCGTGCCTTGAGACTGGAGCAAAAGTTTCTTGGTAGTCAACTCCATGTTCTTGAGAGAAACCACGTGCAACCAATCTTGCTTTGTGTTTGAGTGTCTCTCCATTTGCACCCGTCTTTGTCTTGTAGATCCACTTCACACTGATCACGTTTTTCTTCTCTGGTTTATCTACAAGTTTCCAAGTGTTGTTTCTCTCGATCATCGATATCTCTTGGACCATGGCTCTTCTCCATTCCTCGATCTCAGCTGCTTGATCATAGTTTTGCGGTTCTTCTTGCGCTAGAAGACATGCTTCTATAACTTGTGCCGCTTCTTCTAGATCCACTCTTGGTGCCTTTTCCAAGATTTTGTTCATTGACTTGAATCTTCTTGGAGGGGTCGAGTCTTCTCCTCCTCGATCAATCGTGTTTAAATCTCTTGGTGGTGAGATTTGCAAATTATTGAAAGCATTGCTTACATGATCAACTTGTGATTCTCTATCAGTGCTAGCACCTTCTCCGTTGCTTTCCGCTTGATCTCTTGGTGCATTGATGTCGATTATGGGTAAGACAAAGGTTTTGTCGACTTCCTTTTGTTCTTCCCAACTTCATTTCTTCTCTTCTTCGAATTCAACATCTCTTGAGATTTCGATCTTCTCGTTTTCAAGATTGAAAACTCTATAGCCTTTCGTTTGATTGCTATAGCCGATGAAGATGCAACGCTTTGCCTTTGCTTCAAGTTTTCTTCTTCTTTGATCCGGTATGTGAACGTAACATATGCTTCCAAAGACTTTCAAGTGTGACACATTTGGTTTGTGTCCACACCACTTCTCCATAGGGGTTAGATCACCCTCTATTGCTCTTGATGGTAGACGGTTTTGCAAGTAAGCCGAAGTGTAGACGGCTTCGGCCCAAAACTTGAATGGCAAGTCTTGTTCTGCAAGCATCGTTCTTGCCATCTCCACCAATGATCTATTCTTCCTCTCGGCTGCTCCTTTCTGTTGTGGTGAGTAAGGCAAAGTGACTTGCCTTTCAATGCCTTCGTCTTCATAAAACTTGGTGAATTCTTTTGATGTGAATTCACCACCTCCATCGGATCTTAGTATCTTGATGGAACAACCTGATTGCTTCTCGATCATTGCCTTGGCTTTCTTGAAGGTTGAGAAAGTGTCGGATTTTTGTTTGAGGAAGTATACCCAACACATGTGGGTAAAGTCATCCAAAAACAATAAGAAATATCGACTTCCATCGAGAGATTTGTGTTGCATTGGTCCACACACATCCGTGTGTACGATCTCTAGTCGCTCTCTTGTCTTGGTTTGAGACTCTTTTGGAAAGCTTTTTCGAGATTGCTTTCCAAGATTGCACGCTCCACATGACTCCTTTTGAACCACGAACTTTGGTAAACCCTTTACCAAGTCCTTCTCTTGCATTTGTTGGAGCCGAGTGTTTCCCACATGACCAAGTATGTGTCATGTTTTCAGAACTTCTGATTCACTCGCTTGCATGGCTTCTTCTTCCACGGAACTTAGCTTTATCCTAAAGCTCTTGTTGGTCATTGGAATCTCCACGATCTTCTTGTCTTTTGCATCTAGAATGATGCAACTCTTCTCTCGAAAACACACTTGATAGCCGCTTGAGATAATTTGTGGAACACTCAACAAATGTTTCTCTAAACCCGGAACCAAGAATACATTCCTGATGACTCTCTTTCCATGCTTTGTCATGACAGTGATATCTCCTTTACCGGCTGTCATGACGGTGTCTCCATTTCCGACTTTGATCGGCACCTTAATGCTCTTGTTGATATTTGAAAAATATCTCTCCTCCTTTGTCATATGGTTAGTGCATCCACTATCTACCAACCATATGTCTTCTCTCGGTGTTGTTGTTCCTTCTTCGCTTGCGGTAAACAACATGTGATCCTCCTCTGATTCTTCTTCCTCTTGACCCATGTGTGCTCTCTCTTTCTTCTTAGAACGACACACGTTTGAGTAGTGACCAACCTTGCCACAATTGTAACATTCTTTGTTACTCTTTTGATCTTTCCTTTGATCATTCTTCTTCGATTTCTTCCAGCATTCACTCTCTGTGTGATTGCTTCTCTTACAGAACTCACACCATTTTTTGCCTTGATTGACACTGCTCTTGGTGTTGTCTCGTTTGAAACCGGATTCCTTTCCTTTTGTGCGTCAATAGAACGCCCCTTCATTTTTGTTTTCATCTCTTGCAGCCATCCTTGCCTCATGTGCCTTGAGAATGCCGATAAGCTCTGTCATTGTTAGTAGAGTCAAGTCGCGAGTTTGCTCCACAACGCTAACAATGCTATCGAATTTGGCCGGGAGAGAGATGAGTATCTTCTGAATGAGTTGTGCGCTTGTTTTCTTCTCTCCATGATAGGTTAATTGATTCTCCAAATCAACCAACTTGTCGGTGAATGTTTTGACGTCTTCTCCATCGTACATTTTTAGGTTTTCGTATTCTCGACGCAACGTTTGAAGTTTGACCAAACGAACTTGAGGAGATCCTTGATATTCATCCTTCAATGCATCCCAAGCCTCCTTTGACGATGTTGCCGCTGCAATTCGTGAGAATATTTGATCCGTTACGGCAGTTTGCAGAATTTGCAATGCCACCGTATCGTTTGTCGACGCTTCTTCTCTAAGGGTTTTTGCCCTAGCGGTTTCAGGGGTTTCTTCCACTGCTGCCGGTTCGACCGGTACTCCTTCTTCAACCACAGACCATAGCTTCCTGGTCTTGAGAATGGTTGTCATCTTAATGCTCCAGAAGTCATACTTCTCCCCATTAAAGATAGGGATCACTTGATGTGAGGAGCCTTGCATCGTCTCGACTTGTTGCCTTCGACGTATGCGATCACTCTTGCGGTTATTTCTCTTCTACTCTCGTTTCTTTTTTTGTTTGCTTCTCTCTTGTCCTCTCTTAATCGAATCGCTCTGATACCATGTTGAAATGAAAAGAGGTTCTGTTTTAAGAAAGAAGAAAACAGAGCATAAAGTTGTAACTTGATCTTTATTGATAACTTGAAAAGTATTACAACTCGATTGTCACACACAACACACAACACTTTCTAAAGTACTTATAGAAAACAAAACAACGTAATGTGTAAACGAAAGATCACAACTTCTTGATCTAAAAGACACAACCTTAACACAGAACATTTGTGCCTTTTAATCTAGTAACTAACTAATACAAATGTAACTAAGTTATGCGAGATTTGATTATAGTTCAACAGATATGAGGTATGGATCTCTTTCATACAAGCTCTTGATTATCTTCCACTTCAAAATGAAAAACGAAGTTGAATTCTTGACATGCACATACACTATTCTTGCAGGTGAATCCTGATATGGTTGAACGCCTTGAGAAAGTCGGTCTCTCTTTCGCTGCGCAAGATGAATCTGACAAACGCATGGAGGTCTGTTTATATATCTCTAGATTCAAATCTTATTGCAGCAAACAGAAAAACTTTCAGCTTTGACTAACCTCTTATACTGAAACTTGCAGATTATTGAATTTCCAAGCCATCCTTTCTTTATCGGAGCTCAATTCCACCCGGAGCTCAAGTCCAGACCTGGGAAAGCTTCTCCTCTCTTCTTAGGTTAGAGCCCATTTCATCATCAGTTAAAAATATCCAAACTTTATATATCTTTCTCTTAAGTAACCTGAAGTCAACACAAGTCATCTAAACAATCTTTTGCTTCTTATTTCAGGACTCATTGAAGCGTCATGTGGCGAGCTAGAAACAGTCATGAGTCCAGCTTCTGCTCATCAAAATGTGATTAGCAACGGTACAAAGAACGTTTTCGTCAATGGATCTTCCAAGAAAGCTACCAATGGATTGGCTGATGTAAGATATAATAATGGATTCTGCATTGGCCTCTACCCTAGATAGCTGTAGTTCTAGGATCTATGTTCTTCCTCTCTCCACATTAGAGTTTGCTTCGTTTTTGGATTTTGGGTTTGCCTTTCTTTTCTTATAAAACTTAGGATTTTCCTTTCTTTGCATATGATTCAAGCTTTTTCAGGTTCTTAAACATCTGACAATTGCGGTTGATTTCCCCTGGTTTTTTTTTTTTTTTCATCGAAAGGGATTTCATATGATCATATGTACTGTTTGGAACATTTTGTATCTCGATTTGGTCTTGAATGTTAAAGAGACATCTTATAAATAAAACTCAAAACAAAAACATTTAATTCTTTTTCTTGTTACTTATAACAACTTAATTTTTTCCATCAACTTGTGAAATGAAGGAGCTATGAAGAAAATGAGGGAAACGATGAAAGAGGATTTTGAAAAAGAAAATTTTGAGGAATGAAGATTGAAAATTGGAGAAAATATTATTAATGAAATAATAATATGGAAAATTGGAAAATTCACTCAGTAATTTAAACAATCTTGACTCGCAAAATGACTATGTTCGTGACAGTTAAATAGTTGGGATTACAAAAGCAAAAAGTTAAAAGAAAGCTATGCTATGGATTCTGATATGGTTTTTATCTTAAACAAGTAAATTTTACATGCTAACCTAATCTAAAATATCTGTTTATTATTTTCTTTTTATGGATTACTCAATATAAGATACCAAATTTTTGTTTATTACCATGTCCACAAAGGTTGTGAGAATTGAAATTATTGATTCAAACAAAAATACACACTACTGTGACTATTATCAAACTAAGATGTAAAACCCATAACTTATGAACTTCATACTACTTCAAAATAAAAAAAAACTCTTATTCCAAAAATAAAGTTTTCCTACATATTTAAATAAATATTTAAACAAAACAAAATAATATAAAAATTATACAAAACTTTAAAAAAAATTAAAACCCGCGCATGCGGGGGGTGCTCTCCTAGTAATATTAAAACAACTAACTAATAATGAAAATGAAAATTTATAAAAACGAAATTAAAAAAGAAACAATATAAATAGAAAACTAACATAATAGCTATTAAGAAACTAAATAATATTAGAAACGAAAATTTTATAATGGACTGATCTTCTAATATTAAATAGTTTAATTTTCCATGTTTTGTTAGGTAAAAAAATATTAAAAATAAAGATTTCATCATGGAATAATCAAAGTTTCATAAAATAATGAATCGATTAGATTTAGACACAAGTAAATCTTTCTATTTCATATCATGCATTCGAAGTTTTTAGATTTCACAAAGCTGTGTAGTTTGTAAACATAGTGATATCCAAAAATACTATTCATAATGATGCTGGTTACGAAATGATGCTGGTTATCAGTTTGGTAAAAATTTCCTTTTGATTATTGGTTTTACAAAGCTTTGTAAACTGTATTCGAAGTTTTGAGATTTCACAAAGCTGTATAGTCTGTAAACATAGTCATACACCAAATACTCTCCCTAAGGAACATGCTGGTTACAAAATTATGCTGGTTATTGATTGTTGATTTCAGCATAAACTTTCGTTCTGACTGTATTCAAACATTTACAAGCCCTTGTAAATCTTGTTAAATTTTTCTGTTTTTTGCAGACTGATGATGAGTTCACCACAATGATGACGCTTCCTAATAGGCATCATAAGCCAGGGACAGAACCTCACACTATCCATAGCATCACACATCATTCAAACCTGCAATATGTTAATGATGTCAGAAACGTTTTATCTTCAACGGAATTTGCTGTGCTTGAAAATTCTTATCTCAGCACTGTTATCAAGCTTGCGAAAATGGGAAACAGGTTTTCTGCAAAGCTATTCCACTTTTTCATGCAGAGAAGAATCTTGACAAGAGGTCAAGTGTTGTGGTTTTCCTTTGCTGATCAACCAATCAGGTTTTCCCTCAGAGAGTTCTTTCTGACTACTGGGCTTCAATGTGAAGAAGGGGAAGAATGTCGAGAGCCACTGATCAGAAAGGTGGAAAAACCATACTCTTAAATGATGGGAGATGGATTATATGTGAAAGAATTGGTTGAAAGGCTGCAAAGGGATGGGGGAAGGATGAATTCGTTAGAGAAGGTTTCTCTTGGAGCAGCCATCATCAGTGAAGGGATCATTGTGGGAAGAAGTTCAGGGAAAAGGATACCACAGGAAAGGTTGCTGAAATACAGGCATTATGAGGTTTTCTCAAAGCTGCCTTGGGGGAAGATTGGTTATGAAGCACTAAGTGAGAGCATTCTCAAAATGAATGCACATAGTTGGTCTAAGGAGAGATATGATGTGCAAGGATTTGTGTGGGCCATTATTTTCTGGTCTTTTGCAGCTGTTCCAGACTTAGGGATCACTATTGCTACACCATGTGAAACGAGTGCATCCTCTGATCCCTTGTGCTTTCAGTGGAAGTCGGTGAAGTATGGCAGCATGAGTAAAGTTATATTGGTGGAAAAGAGAGAAAACGTGAGCCTTCTTTCGGATGTTTGTTCATTTACAAGGCCTTATAAATGTGGTTTGTTGTCTTTACAAGGGCTTAAAAATCTTTTTCGATTTTGCAGGTTTTGGTTAAAACTATTATAGGCGAGTCAAAAGCGTTTGAGCACTTGGTTCAACAGACACATCCAGACGACAGAGACTTCGATTCAGTGGTCTGTTTGGTGACGCAAGGATATAATATGACCAGAGAGGACTGGGTCAGAGGAGAAATCGACATTTTGGTTGCCTCAGGACAAATAGGCAATCAACAGAGAAGGCAGAGATGTGCTAATCCATGAATCAGCGACAGCCAAAAAATAGATTACCTGATAAGAATTGTTGAGGAACTGACGAACAAGGTCGATGGGATACAAAATATGTTAGAAGAGAAGCCAAGAAAAGAAGGAGGAGAAGAAGAAGAAGAAGAACCTAATAGAGCCGATTGTGAAGATGGTGCTGAAGAAGAACCTAAAATGCCAGATGGGGAAGATGGTGATGGAGCATCTCAGAATGATGAAGAAGATAATTCTATTCGACCAGACACAGAAGCCTATTATGGTGGAGATGATGAATGCACAGCTGATGAAGATACTCAGAAATCTTATGGAGTTGGGTTAGATACAGTGGGAGGTGAAGAGAATGTTGAGGAAACTAAGGATGTTGAAGATACACAAATTACAGAAGTTCTTACAGATGTTATTGGGGATGATGAAGATACCCTAGTTCTAGACATTGGCCAAGAATCAGCAAAAAGAGAGGTACAAAGCGCTTTACAAGCCTTTGTAAAAAATCGACTATGCAATTTTACTAATCTGTGTTTATACACTTATTTATTATAGGTTCCATCTCCATCTCCTAGTTCCAGGTATCTTCATCTCCAAGCTCTAGACATTGGCGAAGAATCAGCAAAAACACAGGTACAAAGCGCTTTACAAGCCTTTGTAAAAATCGACTACTATGAAATTTTATTAATCTGTGTTTATACACGTGTTTATTAAAGGTTGCATGTCCTCCATCTCCTAGTTCCAGAAATCTTCATCTCCAAGCTCTAGACATTGGCGAAAAATCAGCAAAAACACAGGTACAAAGCGTTTTACAAGCCTTTGTAAAAATTGACTTCTATGAAATTTTACTAATCTGTGTTTATACACGTGTTTATTACAGGTTGCATCTCCTCCATCTGCTAGTTCTAGACATCTTCATCTCCAAGCTCTAGAAATTGGCGAAGAATCAGTAAAAAAAAGGGTACAAAGCTCTTTACAAGCCTTTGTAAAAGAGGAATATGAAATTTTACTAATCTGTGTTTATGCACGTGTTTTATTACAGGTTGCATCTCCATCTCCTAGTTCTAGACATCTTCATCTCCAAGTTCTAGACATTGACAAAGAATCACCAAAAACACAGGTACAACAGCTCTTTACAAGATTTTGTAAAAGGCGAATATGAAATTTTACTAATCTGTGTTTACACTCGTGTTTACTACAGGTTGCATCTCCTCCATCTGCTCTAGTTTTATGTACTCCGAATTTCAATCTGGTTTCTGAAGAAAGCATCGAAAATAAGGAAGATAAGGGAGTTGCTGATGGAATATCAGATTTCCAGTGTTTGCAGAAAAAGAAGAAAAGAGTTGAAGAAGCAAGTACAGAGGTTAATGATCTATCGTTTTTGATAACAAGATTTGGTTTTAAAAATTTTTGTGGTGATTTGAGTTAACACTCTTTTGAAATTGTCATTGTAGGGGGTGGAAACAAATGCGCCAATTGCTAAGAAGAAGAAGCTGAGACGAAATGAAGAGCATCCTTTTGAACCAAGAAGAAGTGGGAGAGAACAGATACCTTCGATTCATACTCAGCCACCTTTCACGGCAGAAAGGAAAAAGCATCCAATCTTTCATCCTTTTTCAAAAGTTCAAACGATTCGATTGGAAAAGTTTGATCAATGGAAGAAACTAAAAAAAGCCAAGTAAGTTTCTGGTTTTATATCTATTTTTCAAAATAAGCTATGTCATGCAAAAGTATTTTGTGTTCATGGGACGCTGATTTGTTGTAGGTTGCCTTTAGTCACTGGAGTTACAGTTGATAAATCTTGGTTTGAAGATCTGGAGAAGCCAGGGATGAAGATTTCGAGCCATGTAAGCCTTACAAAAACACAGAGTAGTTTACAAGCCCTTGTAAAACACGTTTTTGATATTGAACTTACATGAAAATGTTTACTGCAGCATATGGAAGCAGGTGTACAACTGCTTAGACTGAGAAAGGAAAACAATCCAGAACTGTTCTTGAACAGGAGAGCCATAATTCTTGGAGTGAAGTTTCTCAAAGATATTGATGACTCCTACTTTGAATTCGTTTCTGACAAAGAAGGTTATCAATTTGAGACCGAGATGGATGGATTGGATGAATTCATCAGCGGTGGAATACTCTATGCTCTTAGGAAAGTTCGTAAATATCTTTGGATTGGATTGCTTTTCGATTTGGAGAAGAGAAAGCTCCATGTTCTGAACTGTGCGGCTGCTACTTTCAGCAAGGAAATGCTACAGCCCTATGTGGATGCCTATGCAGCTGTCATTCCTTACATCATCTGGAAGATCAGCAAAGACAGCACAATAGATGTCAGGCCCTTCAAAATTGAAATTGACTCTAAAGATTTGCCACAGGTAATGTATTTATAATGTTTACAAGCCCTGTAAAGTTTTGTATAATGATGATATTTTGGATGATGCTCTTTTTTTTTTTCGATTTGAAACAGGTGACTAACATTAAAGATTCTGGCGTCTACATTTTGAAGTCATAGAGTGCCATGCCATGCGCATTCGGGATATGAGCAAGCTCTCTGACAAATCGATGAGGGAGATGAGGATGAAGCTAGCTGCTGATATCTTCACAGAGCTAGAGCTTTCGAGAGGATAACGCTTTCTTCTTTATCTTTATTCTGGATATGTGTGTTATGTGTGTTTTTCGCTTTGAAGTTCTTATGAATAGTATCGGATTCTGAAAAGTTGTCATGTGAGTTTCATTTGTCTGTCATTTTGAAAATGGTTGCAAAGAAACTTTACAAAAACATTTTGAAAGGTTTTGCAAGGAAACATTACCAAATCTTGCAAATTTTCTCTAAAAACCTTACAAAATATAACCATTTTGCAAGGAAAATTTTACAAAAAAATCTTGCAAAATAAAGTTTGTAAAGTTTCTCCAGTTAAGAAAAAAAAACTCAACCACAACCATTTTGGGGAGGGGTCGAACCTGCGACAGGAAAGAAGACTGAGATTGTGATGTGTGGCGTGAAACCAGTTGGACCGGGTATATAATTCATTATTAGCTTGGAGATATATACCTTTTAATAGAAGCGCCTTTGAATAGTGTGGCGCTTCTATTACAAAGAAAAAAAGACCCCACTACAATTGTATTGGGGAGGGGTCGAACCCGCGACAGGGCAGAGCACTAGGATTCTGATGTGTGCCTGAAACCAGTTGGGCCTAAATACTAAAATAGTGAGAATCACCTAGTCATACAAATAAATAATCACACCGTTACCTCTTATCAAGTTTGTCAAAATAATTTTGCAAGGTTTTGCAAGAAACATTACCAAATCTTGCAAATTTTCTCTAAAAACCTTACAAATATACCATTTTGCAAGGAAACTTTACAAAAATCTTGCAAAAAAAAAAATACCACATTTGTTAGTTTTGCAAGGTTTTGTAAGGAGATAAAAAGGTTAAAAATGTGAAAAATACCACATTTGCAAGGTTTTGCAAAAGAAGTTTACAAAATCTAACAAAACCTTACAAAGGAGATAAAAGGTTAAAAATGTGAAAAATATCACATTTGTTAGTTTTGCAAGGTTTTGTAAAAGAAATTTACAAAATCTACTTGTATTACAAAGAAAAAAAAAATCCCCCACTACAATTGTTTTGGGGAAGGGTCGAACCCTCGACAGGACAGAGCACTAGGAATCTGATGTGTAGCCTGAAACCAGTTGGGCCGAACAAATAATTAGTTAGTGGGATGGAGATAAGTATTAATATAGTGAAAATCACTTAGTCATACAAATAAATAATCACAGTTTACCTCTTATCAAGTTTGTCAAATAATTTGCAAGGTTTTGTAAAAGGACAAAGGAGGAAAATGTAAGGTTTTTATAGGAAACTTTACAAAGGTTTTGCAAGGAAACATTACAAAATCTTGCAAATTCCCAAATATGTGTTGTGTTTTTTTATGTTCATTTTATCTAAGGTTTGTACACATTCAAGCTTGTGTGATCTAAACTGTCTTTTTGTAAGGTTTTTATAAAGATCTTGTGGGGGTAACAAATAGGACACATTAAAAGATCCGTTATATGATTTACAAGGGTTTATAAACGAAAACTGTAAGAACCTATAAAACTATAAAAATGCAATCTGTATAGAATATGGTAACCAAATATTTGATTACAAAAAGTAAACTCAAAGTTTTTGAAAAAAAAAATAACAGAAAGAAGTTTTACAAAATGAAATAAGACTATAAATGAAAAAAGATTGTATACAAAAGAAGACATGAAAAATCCATCTTGTTTTCGTCCTTCATCGTAGACAAAGGTAGATAAAATCAGATTACAGCTACACATGTGCTTTTGTTGTGTCCACTGTGACCACACCTACTGCATTTGTAACTTTTTGATGTGGTACGAGTCTTTCCAAACTCCCAATTAGAAGGTATCCTCTTTTTCTTCCTCCTGCCACTAGGAATCTTAGTTGTAGGTGGCCGTGATGTACTTGCATTTTACATAGTTTTAGCACATCTTTTATGCATCTTTTGCATAGTTTTAGCTTCCATTTGCATCATATCTTGTTCCTTTTCTCTTCTTATGCATTCATGTTAGTTTTAGGTTGCATTTGCATACATATGCATGTTTGGTCCTTTGAAATAGGTCTTTTGGAGCATTCTGGAGCATATGGGACATGAGGAGCATGGAGGGACTTGGCACATGGAAGCAGCTCAACTGGATACGCAAAGGAAGAAGGGAGAAGCCATCTTGAAGACCAGCTCGACCGTCCACTCGACCAACCGGTCGAGTTCCTCAACTCGACCGGCCAAGCTTCAACTCGATCGAGCTGGGGAGTCAAAGTCAAACCCGAAAAATGTTGCTTCCCCCTTGACTTTCCTTTGACCCTAAACCTAATCCTCTTGTATTTAAAGGCTCTAAGCCACGAAAAAACCACCAAGCTTTAGATTATTTTGTTTTAGTTTCTTTTAATTTATTGTCTTTTACTTTTTAGAGATCTAATCCCATCTTTGTGTTCTTGAAGCTCTTGCTTCTTGAATCTTAGATCCTGGATAATCTCTTTGTATTTGCACTTGCTTATTTCAATAAAAGTTGTTTAATTTCATCTCCTCTTTCTTATGATGTCTCTTTTATTGCATTTGCTTGTGTTTACATTCATGTGTAGTGAGTAGTTACCCATTGGGGTTTGAGATGGGATAGATTAGAGGTTTCATATGCTTAATCCTTCTAGCTTATGGTCTTAATCTAGATTCTCTCTCTTTTGGATAGATCTTAAGGCTACATGACCACTACCCCTGGCTTGTAAGTCCTTAGGCGACTCCCCACACGAAAGTGATGGCATTCGCTGGAAAAGATCCACTAAGAGCTCCAATATCTCTTGCTCTAGACAATAGAGGTCTAAGGGGTTGGATGGATTAGTTTGGGCAATGATCCTATAGCCTCCAAGGTTTGATTCTCACTGGCTAACCCCCTGTTTCTGAGATCATTCCTTGGTTGATAGCCTCCACCTTGGGAAAGGGTTGGCTAGGCATTGAGAAGCCCAATATCAAGAGAAGCCTTGATACAAGGAGTTTTAAGAGCTAGATTGATTAAGTGTAGATTCCTTTGATTGCAAAACCCTGTCTTGAACCCTAATTCTCTCTTTATCTTGTTAAAGTCGTCACCTTTAGCTTTGTTTGTCTCAACTCGTCCCTAAACTCGATCGAGCTGGTACTTTGCTCTGCTCGACTCGAGCTCTTGGTCGAGCTGACACTTCACTGCTTTGTTTACTTTTATTGCACTGCTTTTCATTTTTTTAGGTTGTTAGTGTTACTTCAAATCTATAACTGCTTGCTTGACTTTCTGGTTGTTTCATATTCTCAAAGAGTGACAAGTTTCCCATTTTGGATTGATAACCCTTTATACTACATGACTATCATGGTTAAAGGGAATTGTTGACTGTGTTTGTGTTTGCATCTTACCACCTCATCATTACCACTGATTGCATTCCACTCATCTCATTTCATCTTTTCACATCCACACACAAATCTTATCATCAGGCCGACAAATAATACTAGCAATATTTGCTGGAATCTCCCAATATGCTCGATCTCCAACAGGATAAATGCTCTCTGAATAAGCTTGTATTGGTATCATCATGGAGAACGAATTATGGTGTAGAAGGTGAAACAAAATCAAGTCAGCGGAATGATGAGATTGTCGGTCTGTATAAAGCTGCTGGATTCTTGGATGAAGAGTTTGGTAATACTGCTGACTTTGGTGAGATTGCAGAGGGAGAAGACAAGAAAGAAGATGAGTTCCTTGCCAAAATTGCTGATGCTGAAACACCATTGTATCCAACTTGTGTCAACCACAGCAAGCTATGCGATTGTATCCTTGTTCAGACTGAAGACACAGAACGGCTGGTCAGACAAGAGTTTTAATGATCTTCTCGAGACTTTGCCAGGGATGTTACCAGCGGATAATGTGTTACACACATCACTTTATGAGGTCAAGAAATTTCTGAAATCATTTGATATGGGTTACGAGAAGATCCATGCCTGTGTCAACGACTGCTGCTTGTTCAGAAAGAAGTACAAGAAGCTTGAGAATTGTCCAAAATGTAAGGTTTCCCGGTGGAAGACAAACATTCACACTGGTGAAGTGAAACAAGGTGTGCCACAGAAAGTTTTACGCTATTTTCCAATAATCCCAAGACTGAAGAGAATGTTTAGATCAGAGGATATGGCTAGAGATCTAAGGTGGCATTTCACTAATAAGAGCATCGACGGCAAACTCAGACACCCGGTGGATTCAGTTACTTGGGATCAGATGAACGCCAAATACCCTTCCTTTGCATCAGAAGAAAGGAACGTGAGGCTTGGACTTTCCATATGGCTTTAATCCGTTCAACATGAAGAACAAATGTATAGCTTCTGGCCTGTTTTGCTTGTCAACTACAACTTACCACCTGATTTATGCATGAAGAAGGAAAACATAATGCTTACATTGTTGATTCCTGGTCCACATCAGCCTGGAAATAGCATTGACGTCTACTTGGAGCCGCTCATAGAGGATCTAAACCACTTGTGGAATAACGGAGAGGTCACATATGACGCCTTCAGTAAGTCTACTTTCACTCTTAAGGCATGCTACTTTGGACGATAAGTGATTTCCCGGCTTATGGAAATCTTGCAGGCTGCAAAGTGAAAGGTAAAATGGGATGTCCTTTGTGTGGGAAAAATACTGATTGTATGTGGTTGAAGTTCAGCAGGAAGCATGTGTATACATGTGTCATAGAAAGCGGCTGCCACCTACACATAGATTTAGGGGAAAGAAGTCGTGGTTTGATGGCAAAGTGGAACTGGGCAGAAAGGGAAGAATTTTAAGTGGTTGAAATATGTCAGAATCTCAGGAATTTCAAGAACGAATTTGGAAACTTGAAACGATCTGGTAGAAAGAGGAAAAAGCCTGTGTGTACATCTGTGGGCTCTGAAGTTGAGGATTTATCTAGTGAGTCAGAGGAAGAAGAAGAGGAAGAATTACAAGTAGATGTGGAGGAGTTACTGCGATGGAAGAAAAAATCAATCTTTTTCAAGTTACCTTATTGGGAGGTAAGTTTACATTGTCATGTTCTTAGTTGTTATCAATATACTATCAAGACATGTTTATTAACTCTGGATTTGTTTTTGTTTTTTTCTTTGGTAGGAACTCCCTGTGAGACATAACTTGGACGTAATGCACATTGAGAGGAATGTGGCTGCAAGTATAGTGTCTACATTGTTGCATTGTGGCAAGTCGAAAGATGGTCTTCAGGCTCGTAAAGATTTGGAGGAGTTGGGTATTAGGAAGGATCTACATCCAACCATCAAAGGGAAACAGACGTATCTACCAGCAGCACCTTGGTCTCTTTCCAAGACAGAGAAGAAGATTTTTTGCAGGCGCCTATTAGACTTCAAAGGCCCTGATGGATATTGCTCAGACATTTCAAGAGGTGTGTCATTAGATGAGTGTAAGGTCACTGGCCTGAAATCACATGACTATCACGTCCTAATGCAACAACTTCTTCCAATTGCCCTTAGAGGCTTGCTACCCAAAGGTCCAAGGCTAGCAATTGTACGCTTATGCGTTTTTCAACCATTTGTGTCAGCGAGTCATAGATAGAGAACAATTGGTAATGGAAGCTGAGATTGTTGAGACTCTTTGTATGTTCGAGAGGTTTTTTCCCCCAAGCTTCTTCGATATAATGGTGCATCTGACGGTACATCTAGGAAGGGAAGCACGACTTGGTGGTCCAGTCCATTTTAGGTGGATGTACCCATTTGAAAGGTATAACTTTCATTACATTTGACTTTCCTTGTTGTTATTTGTACAATTTATAACTAGATACTCTTCAAACTTTCAGGTATATGAAAGTTTTGAAGGATTTTGTCAGAAATCCTGCTAGACCAGAGGGATGTATCGCTGAATCTTACCTTGCTGAAGAATGCATCCAGTTTTGTAGTGATTTTCTGAGAAATACTACAACTGTGCAAGAAAAACTCGATAGAAACACCGAGTACGAGAATGTATCCATTCTGGAGGGTCGTCCAATCTCTGCAGGCTCTCCAGTAACTCTAACTGAAATGGAGAAGAACATAGCCCATCTTGCTGTCATCCAAAACATGGCAGTCGTTGAACCTTACGTAGAGTAAGTTTACATTTGCATTTCCTGATCATCTTCTTCTAATGTTTCATAAGCTCAATATCTCATTTTACTTGTTTATTCTTTTGCAAGTGAGCACCTGCAACATCTACAAGATACGAACGGAAGATGTAGACGTGATGCATCCATACTTTGGAATATGCATACACAGAATTTTGCAACTTGGCTAAAAGAACAGGCTAGTTACAGACAAATTATTTTTCCTTTAATTACCATTTATATATTACGATGTGTGTAATATTTACATATTTATACTTTTGTCAGATTCCTCTTGATTCTGCACGACATGGTGATACACTTAAGTGGTTGGCATATGGACCATGTTGTTCTGCAAGATCGTACACATGATATATAGTGAATGGGCAACGGTTTCACGAAAATTCAGTAGATAGGAAAAGTCAGAATAGTGGGGTTTTTTATGAGGCAACAGCAGTTTGTAGATCTAGTGCGAAAGATACATCGCAGGTGGTTGATTGGGTGTCTTATTATGGCAGAGTAACGGAAATTATTCTGTTGGATTATAATGTATTCTATGTGGCTCTATTCCGGTGTCAGTGGGCAGTTCTGGGAAATGGAGTTAAGAAAGAAGATGGTTTCACACTTGTTAATCTGCATCACAATCAGACTTCTTTCTTACGAGACCCATACATTTTAGCCTCACAAGCGAAGCAGGTTTTTTACTCTAGGGAAGATGAGTCATCAAGTTGGTATGTGGTTATGAGAGGGCCTTGTAGAAGATACAGTAAGGAAGAAGTCCAAGAAGGAAATGCAGACATTGGGCCATTGCCATCTACTGTTGTCATGGATGTTGATATGGATGAGTCTGAGAATTCACGAACTGATTGTCAAGGCATATATGTTTGAAATGTAGCTTTTTAATCACTAGTACTCGTTGATGCATCTGCTGTCTCTATTGTGTGGTTTATCGTTTTGATTGTGTGCTTTTTTCTTTTTAAATGATATGCGTGACTTACTTTTTTTGATTATTGATTGTTTCAGATAGTTTAAAATGGCTCGGACCAAGCGAGGAAGGAAAACACATAAGAAAATCACGCAAGTTACTACTAAGGTGGTGGAAGATCAGCCGGAGTTAGGAGACGATGGACCTGTGGAAAACCAGCCGGAGTTAGGAGATGATGGACCTGTTGAAAACCGGCCGGAGTTAGGAGATGATGGACCTATGGAGGAGCAGACGGAAGTAGGAGGTGATGGACCTTTGGCAGATGAACTTGATCGTGAAGAGGAGGAAGAACATGAAGGTGAAATTTTGTTATCAGAACATGATGACTCTGCAGCTGAACCTAGACGTAAGAGACAGCGAGGTCTGACTATGATGAAAAACATAGCCAAGGATCCAAACAACAAACTGCGAGTACAGTACACTTTCACAGGTGAACCATATGGTTATAGATCAGTAAAATTGTCTTCATACTTAGGTCCACTGGTCCGAGAACATGTTCCTGTGACACTTACAAGTTGAAGACACTTCTCTGGAAATCTGTACAGGTAACTGATATACCTCTAATTTACACTTTTTATACTGTTTTAGTATTGTTTTCTAATGGTTTTTGGCAGGTTTTCTATCTAAAAAGGTAGTTTTACTGTGTTTATAGTGTCTAGAGTCTAAACAGGTGAAATGATGCATTTTGGAGCAAAACCATAGGATTTGCACTTCAAGCCGCTCCATGCACAAGCACCAACTTTAAGAGGGCCCAGAAAAAGATCTACTCAATGGATTTCATCAAGACCAGTTCCCTGCGTGCTCTGATTGAGTTAACTTTCCAACGCAATGGAATGGCCTCATTTGGATGAGTAGAAAAGGAGTTATAACCAAAAGAGTGGAGACTGTCCAGACGGCTCTATCGAGAAGCAGCGCCCAAACCGCGCAGTCCGGCTGGCCGAGAAACTATGTTTCGCGCTCGGCCAAAGTCACATCCGTCCGACTGAAGTCTCGGCCAAAGTTCCAAACCGACCGGCCGATCACGCAACGCGACCCGGGAAACATTGTCCCGCGGTCGGCCAAGCTTCAAACGTCACGCCACGCCGCGCACGACCATGCGCGCGAGCCGGGAAACAAGCCTCGCGGCCGCGCAACCCGTTCCGCGTACCACGGCCGATGCATCCGTCCGAGCCGGGAAAGAACGTCCCACGTCCGGCCGAGAAACTCATCGGCCAAATCTTCATCCGCTCCGACCACGCCGGCCGACCGCGAATCCGTCCGACCCCGACCGTTCCGACTCGGCCCACGACCCGATGTCCGGCCGATCGTCCCGACCGACCGTCCCAACGCCGCGGTCGACCCGAAGCCCTTTTTGAAGCCCAAACTTATGTTTTCAAGCCCGGCTTAACCCTAAGCCGCCTCTAGAAAGACCTAGCACTATATATATGGATTTTTAGCCTCTTGAGAAAGAGAGCCGCCCTTGTATTTCGATTTCCTACTCTAAGTTTTATTGCAATCATGTTTTCTTCATCTCTATGTGTGTTTGCTTTGATCATGTCTGAGTAATCCACTAGTTAGGTTGCTAGGGTTACTATTCAATGAGTTGCTTGCATGATCTTTGATTTCAATGATTAGCTAGGGATTATATTAGAGTCTTTGTCTCGTCTTGTGCACTTAACTAATGCTGATTGCTTTACCGCGCATCTAGTAATCCGATCTTAGGTTGATTTGAGCCTCGACAGTGCTGTATCATTCGCCGGACATATTCTTTGACAAGCTAGGTTTCTTAGACTGCGAAAGTTGATCTATCTATATCTAGTGAACTGTATCAGAACCTATTCATTCTAATGCTTGATTTAATCACCTAGGGACATACCAAAAGTTTAGCGACTAGGTAGATTAACAAAGGAGCCGGAGCCTCGAAAGTGGAATGGTTTTATATTCGTGATCTGTGTTCTAGATGGTTCTTAATATCCCAATATCCCTAATCAATTAATCTATCATTGTTTCATTGATCATTGCTTGCTTCTCTGCGATAGCCCCTATGACCTAGCGCTTTTCCTTTATTGTTTACAACCTCGTTATACTTGCTAGTTCGGTTCACCATTACAACCTCAATCATACTTTTGTTTTAGCTTGATCCAAAATCCATAGTTACAAAGTGTACTCAATAGCCAGTCCTTGTGTTCGATACCCATACTTCCGCGATCTGTGCACTTGCAGAGGTCTAGGAGTTTGGTAAAACCTGACTCCACATCAAGTTTTTGGCGCCGTTGCCGGGGACTGCAGCAGTACCTTTGGAACTCGACTAGGATCTAGTCTAGAACCTTTTCCTGTTTTGCTTTTCTTTTGCTTTTGAATTTTTAGTTTTTGATTTCCTTTTCTTTGATTTTACTTTTGTTTTTGTTTTTCCTTTTTGATTTAACTTGTTTCCAAGACTCTTTTCAGGTGCATGACTAGGAGGTCCAACAAAGACAACCTAGTTGAACATCCAGAGATAGACAAGCTCGAGAAGTTAACTTAGGAAGCAAAAGCCCAAGAGATGGCCGACGAAGCAGCTCGCGCTCACGCCGCTGAAGTGGCGAGCTAAGAAGAAGGAAGAGATCCACCTCCTCCTCCTCCTAATCCACAAGATCCTGCTGGAGATGTGAATGTGCAACCTCAAGCCGAGCAAACAATCGGAGACTATGACTCTGCCGATGCTTTCTTCACGGATAGAAACCCTATCCATCCACCACTTCCTGCAAGGAATGACTATGAGATCAAGCCTCAGATCATTGCATTGGTTAGACAGAACCAATTCAATGGCTTCCAGCCGAGCATCCTCTTGATCACATAGAAAACTTTGAAGAGATTTGCAGCACTACTAGATCCAATGGAGTCTCAGCTGACTACTTAAGTGCAAGCTCTTTTCATTCTCTCTTGGCGACAAAGCTTCAAGATGGTTGAAGTCTCTGCCAGCTCACTCCATCACCACTTGGGATGAGTACAAGGCTGCATTCATCAACCACTTCTACACCAAACAAAGATCAATTTCTGTAGGAACAAGATCTCCAACTTTCGCCAAGCCACTAATGAATCTTTCTATGAGGCGCTAGACCGATTCAAGGAGTACATTAGGGACTGCCCTAATCATGGTTTCAAGGAGGGAAACCTATGGAACATCTTCTATCGTGGCATAGACCACAAGTACAAGCTTTCATTGGATACTGCAAGCAATGGAAACTTCATGACCAAGACTGTTGATGAAGCTAAGGTTCTTATTGAGAATCTTGCAGCTAGTGATTGTAACAACTGTCCTGATTATGACCGCTCAAGCCGCACCACTACTAGCTCCCCTGATTCTTTCAAATGACTGAACTCAAGAACATGATGGCTCAAGTTCTTAAGGGACAGCTCAAGCATATCAATGCAATAGAAGGGATGAGTGATGCTAATGAAGACCCATCAAGAGAATGCATGGGAGATTTCTCTAATGAAGCCAATGAAGAAGATGTGAACTACATTGGAAACTATGGGAACAAGGGATACAATCCAAGCTATCGCCCAAACCCCAACATGTCTTATAGAAACCCCAATGTGGAGAACCCTCAAGACCAAGTGTATCCTCCAAGGTATCCACAACAACAAAGACCTCCTTACCAATCTCAAGGAAGTCAATTTCAGCCAAGGCAAGGGTATGAGCAGAGAACATCATATCCACCCAAGGAGCCATATGCTTCTTCACCAAATCAAGCTCCTACANCAAAAGTGATGTCTCTTCACTTTAGGGTCCACTCCTCTTCTCTCTTTATTCCCTTTAATAGGTCAATCGAAGAAGACGGATCGTAATCGTGCATGCTCATTATTGGATATTTGTTTTTCTCTTCTATTTTTCTTTGTTAGCTTACATTACAAGAGAAAGAGTAAAGTGCTGTTAGATGCCAATATCATATACATATACCGTATGGTTATTATCGGAGTTTTGTTCATCTTACTTGATAAAGCATTTCTTGTAAACACCATATTCAAAGTCATCCATGCACTTACATATGGAATAACCCAAAAATGGTTGTTTGCAAAAATCGATAGGTGTGATCGAAGTCTTGAAAGCCGATCTACAGTTGGTTCCCAATTTATCCAAATATATTCCTTTATTTTGTTGTTGATAACAAATGTTCCCATATAGTTCATTCATTGTTTAACACTTCTATTCTTGTTGTGCGTCGTCTGTGTCGCTAAGCCGTGTAAACTAGACAGTCTTGTGATTTTTTTGTTGTTTTGTGAAAAGAGAATGTACCATCTGCTCTAAATCCACCTGTATTTCCGTGTAATGTTGTCTCACATTTTTTTTTTTTTTTGGCATTAGACAAAACAAATAAAAATTCTCCTAGCTAGGTGTAATTTAGTGATAGTTGACCACCATCTTTTTCAATGCATAGGTACGACGTTAATTACTAAGATGGGTGTCAATTTATATTCAACAATATGCTTCTCATATATGACCGGCGATTAGTTTTGTTTTTACTTATTTTCTCGTTACAAGAAAACCCTATTAGCTGGTTTAAGCTAATAATTAAAACTATGAAGTCTATGAGTTTTTCTGAGTTTTAACTTTAATCTTTTGTAAAACAATTGTCAGATAGATGGCTTTATTATGATTTTTTCTCTTTCTTTAATTCTATTGAGACTACTTTAGCATTCGATTCTTGTTTTATGTCATTTAGATCAAAATTTGGTTAGTAGTCGTTTTAGTTTATTTAGATCTCTGAATTTAAAGGGAATCATCATCTGTCAAGTTAAGGTTTATGATTAACAGAAAAAAAAAAACACGAGATGATTGCAATCATAACGTTGTTTCATTTGATGTTACACAGTATACTGTACATGGTTAGAAATAGAAACATGGGCTTCTAGAGTTGGCTTTTGTTGCATTAAAAGCCCACATCACTATCCATTGGTCTTCATTTTTGGAAATCTATAACCTATATCTGATGATCAGAAACGTGATGGATGGGATTATGGTTTGAATCTCAACAACAACAACAACAGCTTCAAAAACGAAGCTTGGGGTCACAACAACAACAACAGCTTCAAAAACGAACCTTGGGGTCACAACAACTTCAAAAACGAAGCTTGGGGTCACAACAACTTCAGAAACGAATCTGCTTGGAGTCATAGGAACAGCAACAGTTTCAACAACAAGAAGGTTGAGAATTGGAACTGTAAGGATCAGGGAAGAGAGAGCAGAGAGTGGAGAAAGAGGAGAGCAGTGCCGCGTGGAGGAGACAGGGTGGAGGATTGTCGATGGAGGAATGGGAGAGGGAGAGGGAGAAGCAGAGGTGGGTTTCAGCAGCATTCCAATGGTTGGGGCTGGACTGAGTCCTTCTGAGTGAGACAGAGAGTCTCTGTTGATAACATATTTTTGAGGAAAGAACATTAGTTCTCGGCTATATAGTGTTAACTGTGTGTTGAAGTTTAGTATCAATCATATTGATGTCTCAAAATTGTTTTGTTCTAAACGTTTCTGAGATATTGTCACTTTAATTATGCAGATATAGGTTATATGAAAGTATTTTGCATTAAAATTTCTCGCACCATCCATACTATCACAAGAACTACTTTTACAATACATACTCCACTTCTATAATGTCAAGGGATGCTACTTCACCTGTTCCGGAAGATGTCGCCTCTAAAGTGTGTTCACCTCCTATAGTACACAATCCGCCAGGTCGACCAAAGAATTCAAGAATAAAATCAGTATTGGAAAAAGCCACAGATAAAAAACGGCCTCGTAAAGAATACACATGCTCTATATGTCATAGAGTTGGTCATAATTGTAAGAGGCTCCTATTGAAGTTTAGGATTGCCAAGTGATGAGTTTAAATTTGTTTCTTTTGCTTTTACTCATATGTTAGTTTATATTTTGTACTTTTGTTTCGAGTCATATTTTATTGCATTGTTTTTTTATTTTGTCATGCTTGCTTTAGATCATAGTCATCATTAACAGGATGCGAAAGTTATAAAAAATACGAACTCTACTTGGAATATGAATCTTATTTGGAATAAAAACTCTACTCTACTTAGAATATGTATCCTACTTGGAATAGGAATTCTATTTGAAATATGAACTCTACTTGAAATATGTATTCTCCTTCCAATAGGAACTCTATCTTAAATATGAATCATACTTGTAATATGAACTCTACTAGGAACTAAATATTAACCTACGTTGGAATCAAGAATTCAAGTTCATTTTTCTAAATTAGCTACACTACAAAGTGAGTACATAAGGGCTATGAAATACTCTTCCGATTAAAAAACAAAAGAGCATCGTGAAATCTATTTTAAAATAATTATAAAAACTGATCCAATGAAAAACCAAAGGCAAACAAAACAACAGTCATATGGAAATCAACCTAAACCTCTATTGAGAGTCAATCAATCAACCTTTATTGAATGTTATTAAGATTTCTGAATTTAAAGGGTGAAGGAATGTCACATGTAAATAATCAGTTTTTTTTTAGTTTTTTAGTTTAATTGGAGGACCCCTATTCAATAAATGAGAAATTGCCAAAAGCGTTAAGGGTTTTCTCCTTTTCTGTTCGATTTCGATTCGGATTCTTCAAGAGCGTTTAGGGTTTTTCCTTTTCTGTTCGATTTCGATTCGCATTGTTCAAGAGCGTTATGGAAAATAGGGGTTCAAAGAGAGGAGAACGCTCAGATTCTGAGAAAGAAGAAGATAGGGGTTTAAAGAGAGGAGAACGCTCAGATTCTGAGAAAGAAGAAGATAGGGGTTTAGAGAGAGGAGAACGCTCAGATTCTGAGGAAGAAGAAGATAGGCGTTTAAAGAGAGGAGAACGCTCAGATTCTGAGGAAGAAGAAGATAGGCGTTTAAAGAGAGGAAGACTCTCAGATTCTGAGGAAGGAGAAGATGGAAATGGAGATGAAGATTCTCGTAGATCCTTCTTCCTCGAAAATGGATTGGAGGTTCTTCTACTGAGCAACGTAGGGTTCTCTACGCAGTCATCCGCAGCCCTAACTGTTAGAGCTGGTAGCTTTGATGATCCTCCGGTTATCCACGGACTAGCTCACTTAATCGAACACATTCTGTTTCGTGGGTCTACAAAATTCAAAGAGGTAAGCAAATTCCCTCATTCGTTAATGTAATCTATTTCTAATTAGCTTGTTTTTCTTCTTACTGTTTCTTTCTTATTTCAGCTTGATGATTACTTGAATAAGCATGATGGGGATGCCAATGCTCATACAGAGTTCGATTTCACCACCTTCAGTTTTGAAGTCGATTCAAATTTCCTAGAGGTTGCTCTTAAAAGGTATGGTTGTCAGATTAATTCAATTCATTATGCTTGTCATGTTAATCGGATAACAAAATATTAATTTTCAGGTTTGCCAATGTTTTCATAAATCCTCTCATGGAAACGGATATTTTGGAGCGTGAGATCCTTGTCATGGACGCAGGTACCAATCTTCATACTTCAAAAGTGTATTTGTTCTATACACGTCTGATTCTAACAGTTACATTTCTTCTTTCCAGAATTTCTTCTCTCTAAGCACAGAGATTCTGACCGAATTGATCAACTGACGGCTTCTAGTTCTTATGACAAGCATCCCTTGAATAGATTTCCTGGGGGTAAGTACATGAATTTGATTTTGCTGAAATGTGTTATTGCGTTTATTTTGCTAACAAATGTGTTTTTCTTGACACAAAGGCAACAAAGAATCTCTAGGCAACGTTGACCTTCCAGAACTCAAAGATGCAGCGATAACCTTTTTCAAGACTCATTACGTAGCTCCTTCGATGAAGCTTGTAGTTTCAGGACATAGTAATGACTGATTCAAAACTGATTTTGATGTTCATTTGTTTTCATTATCTTCTCTTCAAAACTTATTCTGATCTCAAATGGTCTTTTTAAATTGCAGGGGGCTTAAATGTACTTGAGAGTTGGGTGAAGAAGTTCTTTAGTCCTCTTCCTGGAGGTATACCCCTGCCTAGACCAGAATTTAGCCGACCGTGGGATGTATGTAGATCATACAAAGTTCAATCGGTTGAGAATGCTCAGAGATTAGTCATTCGTTGGATAGTTCCTCCTCCCATATCCTATTTGAAAAAGCCTGAATCATACCTTCTTCAACTGTTCTCTCAAGGTGAATTAATTCATACATTCTCCAACTGTTCTATTAGTCTTTCACTCTTTTGTTAGAATTTTAATTAAATCTTGGTGTTGCAGAGGATGAAGGATCATTGTCCTTCTTTTTCAAGAAACGCCAATGGATTACATCCTTCTTTGTTTGTGTTGGTGCACACTCAGCTTTTACAGAGGAGAAAAGCTCATTATCATTACTAAGTCTCACCTCTGCAGGGAGACTCATTACAATTACTTTGGAACTCACCAACAAAGGTTTGGAACAGGTAAAATCTGTACTAATTAATATTATGTATATACATATTTTATGTCTTTGTCATAAAACATAATTTTATTTTGTTAAATGACAGGGATATCTCTTGGTTGATTACATCTATAAGTATGTAAGTCTACTTACTAGGAACAGTCCTCCTCAACATTTCATGGAGCAATACAAGAATCTATTAGAGATGAAGTTTGAATCTCTGTACATTGATGACCATTTAATCAGCTCACAATCATTGTTTGTTGATCGAGTCTCAGGTTTGCATCATACTTCATAATGAATACAGTTTGTTAAAATTATTTTTGAATGTTTCATTTAACTGTTTAAATGTGTTTGAACAGCTAACATGCTCCTCTGTGGAAATGAGCATGCGGTGTCTTTCTTTTTTTCTGATCCTACATGTGATCAGAAAGAGATCGATGACTTTTTAAAGCATTTAACCCCTGAAAATATGACGATCTACTGGGTTGTAAAGAAATTGCCGAAGGAACAAGGTATAATTTTTCTGAATGCTATATATGTGCACAATTTTCCATGCTATATATGCTTATTTGTTTTCTTCTCTTTGTATTCAGATCAAGAAATTGAACCATGGTTTGGGACTTCTTATGTAGAAGTGGAAGTCGACAGATCTCTTGTTGATGCTTGGATGGGGTTCAAAACACAAGTTTTGGAGGAAACTTTTAGTTTTCCGGAGGAAAACTTGTTAATGCCATCTAAGGGCTATACCCTTGAGCGCTTTGATGAAAAATCCGAAGACAGTGCAGAAGATGGTGATGACTACATTGCAGAAGATGGTGACATTGCAGAAGATGGTGATGACAACAATGGTGATGACAACAGTGTTAAGAAGATTGGCAACATCTTCTATGTCAATGCAGCTTCGACATCTTCTGCCTACTTCTGCTTCTCAATGCCTTCTGTAGACAGTTTGATGAACAAGGTTTTCCTGGAATTACTAGAGCACTCCCTCAGTCCCCTGCTGTTTGAGGTAAATCGGTTTTAACACTTGATCCTCTTACTTTTGTTTAAGATAATTGGGTCATAATAGTTCATTTTGTATTTTGTATGCAGGGATCTGAGGCATACATAGATACTCGGATATCTCTCATTGATGGAAACAAGTTAGTTTGAGCACTTTATATCAACAGTTTGGGGCCATATGAAATCCTTCAAACCTTCCCTTGAACAGTTTGAGGTTTGTTTGTGTAATTCGCATAATCTTTTTGATATAGTTTTGAAACCAATCTCTTTAAACATCTCTATTTCAGGTCAGCAAAGAGAAACTTTTCGTTGATTTACATCCCACAAATTTAACGGAGCATGCTGACCAACTATTTATGGAGTCAATGGAAGAGAAGAAGGCACTTGATGTAATCAGCTTTGCTGACATACAGAAGTACACTTCTGGGATTTCCTTCTCTGACCTGCATGTACAAGGGATTATTTTTGGGTTGATATCAAGAGAGGAAGCTGAGATAGTTGCAAACTTGTTGGACAAACATCCTTGTACCATTAGTAGAAACGTGGTGGCTCTTCTTCCTTCTAATGGCAGAAGAAGAATAGACTCCAGAGTGAGGAATGACTCTGATGTGAATTCTTTGTCAAAGGTAAGAATCTGAGATCCTAAAATCTTGTCAAGAGAATGAATGCAAATTCTCACTATTCTGTTTGTGCAGGTATTCTATCAAATACCTTGCATAGGCTTGGTACAATTCTTCTTCTCTTTGATGGAAAAAAGATTTTATCATCAGCTGAGGTTTGTCTTAATGCTATGCGATTTTTCTTAATGCTATGCGATTTTTCTTTGGTGTTTGTTTTAGCTGACAATTTAACTCTTGTCTCCAGCGTTGTAGAAAGTCTGTGCTATGATGCTGATTGCCAAATTCAAACCCAAGGCATTAGAGGCATATGCCTTGCTGTTATTTCTCCTCGACATGGACCAGATTATTTGCTAAAGAGGATATGCTCTTTCATCGATACCTTCAAGGTATGACTTTGGTTTAGATTATGGTGACATTTGATTGTGTTTATTCTATCATTTGATTGATTTTAATCAAATTGAACTTTGGTTTAGATTGATAGGCAGACTTTTGATAAGCACAAAGAAGCTGCAATGAACATTTTGGACGACAACTGTGGATCTAGAATAGGGGAGTTTGTGATTAGAGCTGAGTACTCAGAGGATTTATTCTCAGAAGCAAGAAAAAGTCTTGATGCTCTTACTTTCGAAGAGGTTCGCAGCAAGTTCTTGGAACTGTTTGGAGCTAACTCTTCTCGGGTTGAAGTGTGCATCTGGGGATGCAACACTGAACCACCAGAGGGCTGCGTTTAAAGACGGCTTATTAACTCCAGCGACATATATCTTGTTATTGCTCGCTTGATTACATTCTCTTTTGTTGTTATTGACTTGGCAGTGGTGATTTTGGCATGTCTGTGAGAATTTTGGAGAATTAGGTTGGTGTGTGAAAAGTGGCCGTAATCTCTAGAAAAATTGAATCTGCTGGAAACTAACATGAGTTGTGAATCGTTGACATGGAATTTTGCAAGCTTGATGAACAAATTTATCATCATTTTCAAAGAGATTTGAGATTTCCTAGCATTTGTCAATGTGTTTCATTCTTTGGCTACGAGTTCTTACAACAAATAATTTAACTTGTTAAAGAACATGTAAAGAGAAAACAGAGTAATAACAGAAAACTGATCTTTATTGAATATCAAACAGCAAACTGATCTCTCTACAGCATTACAGCAATCTCACAGAGTACTTGGCACTCACTTCATGCCCTCGAATGGTCTCCATCACTTCATGCAGTCTCAAATATAGCTGCAGCGTTTATCTAAATATCCAGTTTATTTATTTAGAAACGAAATATGACATGAACATTGTTGATAACCTGAGTCCGAAGAATGTAGATTTCAAAGCGATCATCATACATCGATGATCGCTGTCTACTAGAAAAGATGTTATTTTTTTACCTCATTAAGTAGTTTTTGGAGCGCTCTACTAGAAAAGGTTACAGATATCTAGTCCTCCACTATTCATTTCATTTGAAAACTTGCTGTCTAGATGGATGCTAGCGACCCATCTGCTAAAGTTATAATGAAGTCTTCGAAAATGGCAACTCCGTGAGTGCCAAACAAGGCTAAGGTCGTAGCACGAACCTTTCCCGGAAGATCAAAATTTCGGGATAATTTGATATCAAAACTCCAGGGCTCAATAAAAGGCTCCCACAAGACCTTCGACATATATCCACGGGTGGTTATCAGCAACTACCAAAACAGATAAAATGACAGCAGAATTCTGCTTCTGGCATGTACCTTTGTGCATACTATTATAATTCACTTCAAGATCACATGAAACCAAACTCTCCACGTTCTTCTCGGTCAGATTAGCTTGCAGCAGAAAGTTTCTCATAAGAACTTCAAGAAGCAGACCGCTACATCCCCACTGCATGATAGTCAAGAGACAAGAGAAGTCAGAAGTAGCTTAAGAATTCAAGCTGAAGTATCCCATATAAATTGCAAAAGCTATAGGTAAGAATATAAAGGACAATCATGGAGCAACACATATTCTAGACACTTAACATCGAACTAAGAAAAAACCTATTATAGACAATGGACCACATATCAAATTGCAACATTTTTGCCTTTTCTGCCTTGGATATATTGAAACCGACCAAAACTCACACATCAAATTAGTTTTTCAGCAGCGAAGAAAAACTATCTACGAAGATATAGCATCAGATTTCTTAAGCTGACATTAACTGATCACTAAAAACGAACACATACAGTACAAGGCATAGAGAGCCACACTATCTGCAAATGCAGAGTTCATAAAAACATTATATTAGCATGCAGAAATCAGTATATAAAGCACAAGCTTACCCTTCCATCAGATATAAGAAGAGACACATCTCTAATCTGGACTTTGATACTCATGTTTCCTTGCGAATTTTGTGAAGATGGCGTCTCAGGTGCATCAAATGCAACTCCATGCCAGAAAGATAATACTTGATGAGATGCATGCATCTCTACGATGTCAGACAGTATCCCTGTGTCGATGCTCATGATTTTCTTCTGATCCATCTGAATACTAGCATCTACAAGTAGTTGTGATACCCCAAATAGTGGGCAAGACCTGACAGTATCAACCCCGGATATTGCAAGAATCCCATTGAGCTTTTCAATCTTATAGCTCAGTTTAACATCTCTCCCAAGAACAGAGAGTTCACCGCTCCTACTAAAAGCTGTAACAGAAACATATTTACAGTATTTCCCTTTAAAAGTTCTTCTTTGTTCTTCCTCGGATCTCTCATGAATATCAGTTGCCATGAACCCTGGAAATTCTGAGTGGCTTATGCAGAGAGGAAAATGGATGGTGACGCCAATAATCTCTGATTTCGCAGCAATTGCAATACCCTCACTAGAATTCTCTGATACCTCGTACTGTGACCGTTCAAAACGCGATCAGTATTGTCACAGCTATTCCTTACCACTTCAACAGAATCCAGAATATCCAAGTTGGAACCTTCTGACAAAAAAGGGTCTTGACTACTGCCTTCCAGTTTCTCGGCATAAGATTTAAGAAGATCAATAACCTCAATCCAATCAAAAGAGTGTAACCAGATGTCTAGGGATGGGAGAGAAAAACAGACACCGTATCCATTTGCAGCCTGTTCCATAAATCTGACTTTAAGTGCCGAAGGATCCCCATATGCATTGCTCGTGCATCTAGCTAACATGACTGAGCTCAGCAATGAATAAAGCCCAGTTTCGAAAAATTGAATATCCAAGCTCATAGGGAAACTATTTCTAAGTTCTCCAGAGCAAACAAATTTCATATTAGCCTGGAGCACTGGTTCAGATAGCAGTGTTTCAGGATCTTTTCTTAACCGATGAAGTTTTGTCGTAAAAAAAAATTGAATTTTATAAAGCTAGTGAAAGATTCAAGGGGTGCAGCGGCCAGCTCTTCCTTTAGACGCAACTTCGTATGAGGAAACTGAGGAACATCGGACACGAGCTAAAGAAAACTGATCAATCACATCAAGAAATGCCTTAAACCCATCCAAGGCATCTGAATCTACAAAGAAAATTCATGTATGCAGCACTTGAAAATACGTACTCTCTATAGAAACAGGAGCCAAGGCGCAAAAGTTTACATGAAGGGCAAGACCACCTACCATCCGCAACAATTTCACAAACTTCAACGCTTGACATAATACACGTCAGATCAGATAACGAATTGAGATCACAAGGTAACTTAATCCAAGCGTCAGCAATAATGCTAGCGGCCAGCGTGATACTAGTGCAAACAGCGTCCTTCTTAGAAGTTAATATGCCATTCTCAGAAAGCAGCAATGATAGCGATAAGCCCAAATATGTTTAACCAGTCTGCTCGCCCTGCTACTTGATTATCTGGCATAAGCACATTCCTGTTGTACGTACTGCAACACATTGCTCAGTGAAAAATCTGGAATAAAGCTATATATAACTAACTGTTAAATGTTAGCTTTCAGCTGCCGGTGGTCATCATTTTCCACAGGAAGAATCACACTGGAGTCTAGTATCTCAACTTTATAACAGCAGGAATGTTGATTGTTGAAAACCAATACTCACTTCAACTTCAGAACCAGAAGGCTCCAAATTCCTCTTCCTTACACGTACGTTGAAGACCGGCGAGATATCTGATAGCGAATGTCTCCACAGAAACCCGCCAGAATAGTTGGTGAACAAAGATGACTCCGGCATCAGGTCTTCAGCAGAGCAACCAAATCGACATGAACGTCTGAAATGGTAAACAAGTATGTGGATACTGGAAGCATAATAGTTCCAAAAACACTTGAAGAATCATGAAAATGCACATCAACTGTAAAGAGACTGGTCTGACCAAGACCTCTGGAGGACGCAAGCTCATTCAGAGGATAATGCAGAATTGTAAATGTTCATAAATGGATATCTGTCAAGAAGAATGCAGCCACAAGATCTACTTTCCATGTAGTACAATTTGTCAGAACCCCCAGTGGTAGAATACAATTGGATGAGTGTGGTTTTGACAACGGGCATCAGTAGATGAGTCACATGCTGTGATCGTAAGACCAAATATGTGTATGATAAGAATCATATGAACATATTCAACTGCTGAGCAAAACAAGCAGACATCACCGTGGTAGCTATAAATGTACAGCAAATGAAACACTGCATTCATGCTAGTATAATATCTCAAGGTTAACTTTCCATTGATACTGTAAAAAGTAACAAAATGAGATCCTTTATCGTTGCAACAGTTACCTACCAGAGATCCAGCTGTTGCATTCAAAGAACAAGCAGTGTGCTAATTTTCTCCTTCATTTTCAAGATTGACGTGCAACCTGAAAAGTACCAAGTTGGTATCGACGGTGAAGGGAAAGATGGGAACGGGGTCAACTGGAGCATTTCGATCTCCATGACCCTGAATATCAAGATATTCAATCACAGACATCATTCTTCAAATATCGACGGAGAGAAATGCACATTGATCACAGACAGAGTAGCTTCAACCTGAAATGAGTGGAATGACAAAAAAAAAAAAGTTCCAGAAATGTGGTTTCTGCTATTGACGCCTCTATAAAAGCACAAGCATTTAGCAACAAGGAACAATGACGTTTTTCATCAACTCTGCTAAACTACACAGCCACCTCGGAATATGAGATGAAGATTTTAATACCTCCAACTGCTTTAAAACTGACTCCTCCGGGATTATGCAAGAAGCTAAGTTGATAAGTAAAGATGATTTCTCCACAAGGGAAATTTCTTGGAACGGGTGAATCTTCATCAACCTCATCTGCACAAATTTTACATGTTAAAATTTTAAAATAAGCGGCACTGGCTGCAGACCTATAACTTAAGATATCATTAATATTAGTCTTGTTCTCAACTTCTTCCAAACCCAAAAGATAGACTCATCGATGACTGTAGTCAGAGGCATAGAGGAAACCTATATTAGCACAGAAGCAACTTGACAAGGAAAACATTGGCACGAAAATGCTACAGGAGAAACAGGCTACATCAACTCATCTTCAAGTTAAAAAGGCTACGCATTAATCGAACAAATATGCCTATCATACCATCTTAGCAACATGTGATGGAGACTAAGGCAAGGCAAGACAACAAAGAGGGAAGAGAACATGTGTATTTCTTTCAGTCAGCAATTTCATAACAACTACATTTCTTAGGATGATAAGCAGAGTATTTTATAAATGTTAAAAAGAAAATAAAATATTTCTTCAATTTCCTTTGTTTGTAATGTATGAATCATATGATGAAGCCAAAGACGTATACCAATTATTCTGCAACTTCTACCTCTGATACCAACATTCCAACAATTTGAAAATTCCCCTACACTGTTAGGGCTACCGATGAAATGAAACAGAGTTAACAGTTGAAATGTAAGGAATCACGTGCTTACGATATAAGATTTTCAATAGAATGCCAGCCCTTATTGAAATATGTTAAATTAAATTATCATCTCCATACCACTACTAATTCTTGGAACACAAAAATATGATGAACTACCTCATAATATGCTCCCTAATGGACTTATATCATGTGAAATGTCTTCTAAAAACCATCTCCTTACCACTATTCATTATATACATGTTGAAGTAGAATAAAGGATAAAACAAATAGAAATGACAAGTCACGTAATGATATGCTCCTTAATTTATCAAAATCATATACAAGATGATGAGAATTTCTATGCTCTACACTGAATCCAACAGGCTAGGTTAGGCAATCTTCTACAGCTAGACAAATAGGAGGACAAGGAGCCACATAATGAACAAACCCAGTTGACCAAACTCATGAAAATTCTTGCCTGTGTTCTCTGCGAAGGAAATCTAGCTTTTTCTTTTAAAAGTTTATATACCTCCTCCGCATTTTCCTGTAATTATTTCCAAAACAAAAATCTGAAAACCAAGCAGACTGCTTGAATATATTGCGGGAGTATTTGTCCACTTATGCCAAGAAACAATAAGCTATTTGCGTGGAAGTAAATTATGCAGAATTTTAAGAGCATTGGAAAAATTGTAACTGGTATATGATTAATGATCACATTATCTAATTAAGGAAAAGATGTCAAGAAAGTAAACTTATATTCGCTGTCCAAGAAACCTCCATGAAGTTTTCGACATTTTTTTCCGTAGATCAGGTATAACTGAATTTTGGGCAATGGACATAATGCTACCAAAGTTTCTGCCATCCTGGAGGTTTCCTCGATAAGGAAGTGGAGCAGGGACGATACCGCCCATACCTAAACCATTCAATACATTCTTAAATCAAGAGTTCTTCAAAACATTCCGTAGTGTCATATAGTAGAGCTAAATCTCAGAATAATAAAAGTTTGAATGGAGGAAAAACTATCCTACCCCTAATAAAAGGCTTACCTCTCACGCAATTGGCTAGTTTGCAAGTAATCTAACAGAATAAGAATCTGCTGCAACTGAAATATATTCAGACTCATGACCTGAAACGCATAAGTGGAAGTTAGAACGAGTAATGAAATTGTAAATAAATCTTAGCTCTTAACCTAGTTTAGCAATTTTTGGGAACAAACCACATCGGTTAACTCAGCGCTGATAGAATACTCAGCATAAAGCTCTCCAGATCGATTGACCTATGCAAAGAAGTGCATCAGGCAAAATGAAGGATGCATATTTACACACAGAACACAAATCCAACCAAGCATACACCAATGTTCGTTCTGTATAAATATTGGATCTTTGATCAGATAGCTGCAAACAGCTTTCACTAAATATAATGTCAATATGGGAGGTGACGGTGAACAATACTAGAATTGGCAAAATGCAATGCAAATCACTCATGGTACACTGATAGATAGGAATGTCATCAAAAGTGCACTACTGGAACAAATAAATAAGTTCATCCTCGAACTGTGTGCTTAGTCAAAAAGATTTGCTTCTACAAGATCAATTAGCTTAATCCTAATCTTTTAGGCCATCAGGTAAATGAAGTAATAGACTAGCTACAGCAGATCATATAACATACAATTGTGTGCACCTCATTTTTAATATAAACCTAAAGATAGAGCAACCATGCAACAAAGCTTCGATGGTAAGGACAGAAACAACGCTCCATTACCAATAGTGTTACACAAACATAGACTGGGTTCAGTAAATAACCAAATTTATCGCTTTGCAATCTCGATTGGCACCAGTTGTCAAAACCTCCTTCTATCAACACTTAGAAAGTCCATGTTTCCCTCGTAGATGTCGCAATAAATTTCCAAAGCTTCGATTTCCACAAGTTTATTCACTTGCCCCCTCATCCTACCAACTGATGACCTGATATTCAACATAATCGCCATGTCAAGGTATCTCAGGGTGCGTACATATAAACC